AATTGTGAATATTGCTTTCATGTTATTATCTCATGCACTCACAACTTAAAGAGGAGAGGAGAGAGAATAGAGGACAGATGAGAGAGAATAGAGGACAGAGAAAAAATATAAAGTGAATCTCACCCTTAATTTGTGAGTGCATTGAAATAATATTCTTGTATTTCTTATATGATCCTATTGCTACCTTCATTGATGGTATACAATTTGTCTATGCCACATAGATAAAAGGATAGAGAGAGAAATCATAAAGGAGTCAGTGGAAAAAAAATGATGGAGTCACTTATTTTATATCCTCGTGGCAGAAAATTTTTCTGCTTCAAAAGCAAAAATAATAAAATGAATCAGATTCAGATTCTTAGTGGAGACAAGAAATAATAAGCTATTCATTGGCCCAACCCATCTCTTAACACGAGTTTTAATTTGGTTATTGAGCTGATTGAAAACAAGAATATATGGGTGTGTTTGAATGTGTTTTTGTTTTTTTGTTTTTAAAACTATTTTATAAAACAACTTATAAAAGTTGTTTTGTAGAAAATAGAAGAAAACAAATTTGTTTGATTATAATTACCAGAATGCCATTAATGAAATATTGTTGTCCATATTTCTATCTCTTTTAAGAATAAAAATAGGAAAAGAGAACAAAAACAAGTAAGAGATATTCTCTATTTTTTCTTTAAAAAAAAAATAAAAAAAGATGTTTTTAGAACAACAAATATAGAAAACTCATATCAAATAAGTTTTTTAATTATTTTGATTTTAAAATTAAAAAACTGTTCCGCAGAATAGAAATCAAATAGAGCCTGTATCACGGGATAAGAGATCGAATCCAATAACTTTAAAGTCAAGAGGGCTGGGCTCCGGTTGCAAAAATACTCTTTCATGCATAGCAAATCAGCACGGTCTTATTCACTTAAACCTAGCTCGTGACAACTAAAGTAATATACCTCTATTTACATTTTACTATAGTGTTTTTGAGTGACACCTATTTTCTTCTAGTAAGTGGAAGTGACATCTGGTTCCACCTTTCCAATCTGAACGTGAAGAAAGTAAGAAAAAAAAATTAAAATTTTATGATTAAGTTTTGTTAGAATTTACAATCTTAGTTACATATCGTGGCTAATTCAAATTTATTTGTAATTTATAATTCTGAATTTGTTTTTGGGCAACATTTTCATCTGATTATATCCTCTCTCTCATCATCACATTCATAAGAGAAATAAGGAAAAAAAAAAAAACCTATATCCTCTCTCTCTCTCATTATCTGTAATGAAAATCTTATTCATGTGTGGTCCTGATCTAAGCCTTTCCTTACCCAACGTCACCGAGTTAGTTAAGCACAAGTTGGACAACAAAATGGACCTACCATGATTAGATTCCCAGACTACCAAAGTCTACACTTGTTCCTTCTTTTCCCCAAGCTCTCATCACAGAAAAGAACACACAGCAATGCGAGTCTAGAGTCAGACAAAGTGGTTAAAATACCTGAAAATACCCACTCGTAGATCCATAACTTACGCAACATTCCAAAAAGTTGCATTGACAAATCCATTCTCCTAAACCATGTCATTATTTAATACAAGATTATAATATATTTACAAGCCACTAGGATTGGTGTGAGATTTTAATGGTTTGTATTATGTTATGTGTTCAATTTTCATCATTGAATTGAGATTTTGGACAAAAAAATTATAATGTCTTTACTTAAATTAGGGAAGAAAAAAATAAAAAACGGAAGAGAAACTGATAAAAAAAAACCACACTATATTCTTTGAATAACTTAGAGGTATATTGGATTGAGATTTTAAAAAAATTTAATGAATTATTTTTGGATACAAAAATCATTGGTATTCAATTAGGATTTCAAAAGATTGAAAAAAAAAATCACATGGTATTCGATTAGAATTTTAAAAAATTATTTTAAAGTGGTCTAAATCTGATCGTATTCAATCAGGATATTAAACAAAGGAAAAATAATATTGTGAAATTAAAAAATATGACGATTTATTGGATTTTCTAGTTAGAAAAATATTCCTGCAGTTAATGCAGATAAGTTATCTACATTTACTTCCAAAACGACGTCGTTTTGGGATTGAAAGATTAGAAAATTATAATTATAAAGACTATAATAACCTGAATTAAATTAATATTACAAAAATATTATGATTTCCGTCCCAAAACGACGTTGTATTGGGCTTACTGCAGATAACTTATCTGCAGTAACTGCAAAAAAGTGAACCCTTTTCTATTAATGTGATTTTGTGAGACTTTTGAGTGAGAAGTATAAATAGCATGTTTCTCTCACAATTTTAACCCAACCTCTATGATTTATTGAGATTTTCTCTATTAAAGTGTCTCATAATTACTCTAGGAGGTGTTTGGTTTGGGGTAAATTTTCAGAATGATAGATATATCAGTAGTGGGAAACTAAGAATGGTGCGTTTGTTTTGTTGTCCTTCTTCATTTAGCCACCTACCGTAGATGCATAGGAAACGTAGATGCATAGCATTTCGTCCTCAAAAAGTCGGCCAAGGATGTCCTTCACGTAGGTGGTATTTACAAAAAGCAAGACAATTTCTCACACCATTTTTTATGCCAAAGACGAGCGTACCCCTTCTGTGCCAGCGTCTAGGTCGCAATCCATTGTTGAATTCTTGTCGCTTGCTCCAACATCACCTCCTTTATCACTAGTCACTACGTATATTTGGAGCTGATTCTGAGCCATCAAGCTCAATTTCTGTATCATCATGAAGAACAGAATGACTAGAGACATCAGCACCTTGGCGAGGTTTACTGGAGGTCTGAGATGGTGATTTCCATTGTGTAAGGTCCTGTCTAAGGTTAGAAAGAGAAGCCAAAATAGAGGCCCCAGCCACAGCTGAAGGGTCTCCACTTCTCTTTTCAAGCTGCAGAATTTTCCATCACCACTTTGAACTTCTGCACCCCTAACCAGACCTCAGTATTCAGTTGCTGGAAAATCTAAGTCAAAAGTAAATTAAGAAAATCACCGATGCAAAGACAAATTAAAAAACAAAATAAATACCTTGAGAAAAAGGAAACAACAGATGATTAAAGTAGCATGCCACCGTAAAAATATTGTACAATCAGGGTTATTTTTGTAAACTTACCTAATTTCCCCATCTATATTTTACCTACAACTAAACATAGATTTTAAAAAAGTTACCTAATTTCTCCGGTAAATTTTTTTCCAACCAAACAACTTTTTTTTCCTTTTATCTACCTATCTCACTTTCCAACAATTTCCCTATATATCACATTTCCCTAAAATTTACCCTGAACCAAACACTCCCCTAGTCTTTTCTCAAAGTATGTTCTTTTTTTACTTATATGTTTTCTCTTGTTTTGGCATTGCTATGATTTATGGTTGTACTTGTCGTCTATAATGATGTGTTCCATTTTATTTTATTTTGATATATTTATCATAGAGTTGACAATAAACATGTTTATTATGCAATTTGTATATGTATAGGATCTCAATCGGAGACAACAATGTATGCATGTGCTCTCTTTTCCTCCTACATAATCGTTAGTTCATTCAATTTTTTTTTTATTGTTTGTTGATTGAACTATTTAATGTTGGTTTGGTTTATGGTAAATATTATATAATCATTTGAATTCGTGAGATTGGGTTGGTGAGTACCTATATGGGTTATATAACTGGCTCCATGCTATCACTTTTTCATCTGTAAACCCAACATTTGCAGAATTTGTACAAACAGTATATTGCCAATAAATAATTATCAAGTCATAGCAAACATTATAACATATGAGATTCTTGTTTTTTTTTTTGTTATCACTTTCCTTTTTTAATATAAACTGTGATTATAATAAAGTTACATCAAATTATTGATTATGAAAATTATATTATGCTTTATTTTTTTAATGAATATCATTGTATTTCTTTGTTATTTTTATATTAACTCTTTTAATTTTGAATGTTTGTTAAAAATTTATATGATTTTTTATAATCTTATAAATTCATTTTATCAAATCAAATCTTATAAAATTTATTAAAATCTTTTAAAAAAATTCTTTTAAAAAGTCTTTAAAGTCACTGCAATTCTATATAGTCGTTTAAAAGTTACAAATTTTTTTATCTTAAAATAATATTTTAAAATCTTAATCCAATACACCTTTAGTTTTTAAAAGTAATAATAATACATAAGGATCTATTTATCTCATGCAACAGAGTTAAGATAGTGGGCTCCACAATTTTTTTTAAAAAAGAAAAGAAAAAATAACGGACTTCACAATTTTGTATCTGTTATCTCATGCAACATGAGATAATTATTTTCCTAATGAATATAGAAAGTAAAGAAAAAACCAATCAAAATATTAATAAAATAAAGAAGTATTAACAGAAGTTAGTTGAAGTTGAGAATAGCTTGAAGATTCAATGACACCAAAAACCGAACCCCACCGCAGCAACATGGTTTGGTTACCCTCTTGATCCATGTTCTGTTACGTGGTGGGTCCTCCGTAACCAAAAGCTTCCGTCCAATTTCTTCTCATCTTTTTTATTTTTCAAGATGCAATTCCCTCCGTTCTCAACACGACAAGGCGCACCCATAATTTCATTGATCACATTCCAACATTGAGCAAAAGAAAAAAGCTTCTACCTTACGACTCCGCTTCTTTTTTACTTCAACAAACTGCAATTCTGAACCACATAAACACAGATTCTCCGATTTCATTCCTTTCACGGTTTCCTTTTTCCTTTTTAGTTTTTAGATCCAGTCTATGTCATATTATCATTATTATTATTATAGTGATGAATATTATAGTGATGGCGACGCGAATAAATTACTTTTACCCAGAATTGAACTCTATCCATTCTGTTTAAGCAATCCATGAGAAGTCTATGTCACTTACGTGGATTTCCAATTCAGTTCATTCGTATGTGTCGTGCTAATCTAAATCCATTGCGTCTCTTGTGATTTCTCTATTTATTCCCCTCCTGCCTCAAAACCAAATCCAGACGAAGAAGAACCCAAAAAAAAAAAAAAACAGCGCAGTGACAGTGAGCACAGATCTTCTTTTCTTAATTTTATTTTTCCTTATAGATTCAGAATCCAGGGATAATTCGATTATCTTATTTTCTTTGAAGATGAACGTCATCGTCGCTTTCGTGTTCTTCTGTTTAACGACGGTGGCGCCATGGCGCGTTCGCTCAGAAGGAAGGCTTTCGGTGAAAATGACGCTGGTTCAGAATGCTCGCGCTACTGGTGCTCGTAAGTTATTTTTATTTTTTTATTTTCTACGTTTAACGATATATTAATGAGAATATCATTTTTGCATTAAAAACAAACGGTAAACGATATCTGTGGAAGAGAGGGAGAGAGAGAAAGAAAGGCCTCTCTCTATAACAGATATCATTTTTTCTGTTTTTAATGCAGAAATAATATCCCTTATATTAATTTATTATTAATTATTAAAACTTCGTAAATTATTTGAAGTTTGTTTGGATGGAAGTGTCCCGGCGTATCATTTGGACAGAGGATATGGGGCTGGACAAGACAACTGGCTGCTACAATTTGAGGTACACTGAATTTTCTCTCTCCCCTTTTTAATTTTTTTTCTTCTAAACTATAAGGTAAATTAAATGATGCCGAAAAGAGAATAGATATATTAACATATCCATCCTATCTAATGTATGCATTATTTGCATTTTGCAAGACCTTTTAGAAAAAAACGTATAGAATATGGTGTGAAATAGTAACGAAAAAATTAGCGTTGTTTTGTAGTAGCGTTTGAAAAAGTGGTGTCGATGTTTTTTGGGGTGGTTTTTGGGGGAGAAAGGTGACGATTGGTTGTTTTCGAAACGCTATACGACAGCGTATTTGTGTCGTCCGCCTAGAGTATTGCGCGCGGACTGCCTTGGGGAAATGGAATCTGCTGTTTCACTTCCCCGCGCCGAAGATACAATTTAATGCTGACGTGGTTGGCCTTTTGTTGCTGAATCGAAATTTTAGTAGTCATCGCTGTATCACAGTTTTTTTTTACGGCATTTCATTTTTTATGTTGCATAAGAATTAAATTTTTATGTTGTGACTAAATTAATGATAGACTTCATATTTATTAAAAAAAGAAATACACGTAAATCGAAAAATCATAACATGAGAATTTTTTTTTTTTTATACACAGAAATACCATACTATATTAGAGTTTTATTCATGTATATTCTTCATTATTTGGATAAAAACTAATTATTGAAATTTAAAACTTTAGAAATCTAAAAAAATTAACCTTTTCTAAGTAATTAAAATGATTATAAAGCTGATTTTGTAAAGGATTTAATAGTTTCCATATATTATTGTTGATTAAATAATAATTTTTTCCAATTTGTAATTTATTATTTGTTTTACTAATTTTAGTTTTAAAATTAGTGCTAATGAATTAATAGTAAATAATTAAAATAGATTTTTTTTTATAAAATTAGAACTTTGAGGTAATTCACCATTTTAATGTACTTCCTTTAAATTAATTTGGGTCTAGCTGTTATTGTAACGGTCAGGGTGCAATTATATTAATAAAAGTAAATTTAAGGGCATGTTTGGTGTATAGTATAAGATATGATATTGTATAAGATAATATCCTCCAATATTTTAAAAATTAATATGTCACAAAAAATATTTTAATATATTAATATTGAAACGATATATTAGTTCTTGAGAATTGTACATGTAAACAATATTAATACATCAACTCTTTATCAGGCCTAATCCCACCCCCTTAGGCCTGATTAAGTTATATATCGTTTTGATGTATTAAGGGATTCTGCTGTATAAGCTTATACTATACGATGATCACACCAAACAACTGAAAATGTCACAACGTATAGTATAAGCACCAAATATGCCCTAAAACAACCATCGACATGTGACAAGATATTTTTTTTAAGAGGTGATAATATGAGCTGAATTCGATGTGTCAATCAGTCAAAATTGGGCGAGTTAGTGGATTGAGATATGTAACTTAACTCGCCTCAACCTGTCCCGCTTGGTTGTGGGTCAAAATGAGTTCGCGGTAGATTGGTTCACGAGTCATTTTTTTTTACTATTAGGTAGTATTTTATTTGTCACTAAGTTTTAATGATATATATTTTTTTTATCTTAGTACTTCTCTAAGAAAAATAAAGAAGAAATTTTTTATTTATGATAAAAATTATCTATATATAAAGACAAAAATAAGTTTCTAAACAATATCTGATTGATTATTAGCATATATTTAAGTTTGAGATTAGAAAAAAAATTAAGGGATATATGAAATGAAAATAATTAATATTATAAAATTAATAAAATATAATTTATTTTTAATTATTTTTTATGTTATTGACCCGTCAATTCATCATAAAATATGATCAATTAGACTTTTCAACCCACGTTCGGGATTGGGCGAGCCAAATCATTTTGCCACATATGATTTTTCTCATTCAAGACCTCTCATGGTGTCATAATTTTGGTATACCGCCGTTCTCCCTCCACATGCAGGGTGATCACGGGTGGATTGAAAGGAGTTAGGGTGGACGCCTGTTTCTCTCTCTCAAAATTTCAGTTTTGGGACATATTTTGTGTCAAGTAAATTTCAGAATTATATATAATTTCGCACCCTTAAAAAAGGGTTTTCTCTCTTAATTTTAAACTGAAATAAATATAATTTTGTCTCCTTTCCCAAAATTTCAGCCACTAAAGGTGATTTTAGGTTATGAATATGCGGGACGTCCCGATTTGGAGGATTGTCTGATTGTTCTATAAACTGAGCTAAAGGCATTGGTATAAATGAACTAGGCATATGAAGGAGGTTTCCGCCTTGTGAACAAAGAAAAAAATGATGGTGTGTAGTGTGTGGTAGCTTGTAAGAGGCCTTGAGGAGGTGAATGAGTCAAAAGGTCATTTATAACGGTGCAGGTGTGTTATATAAAGGGTTACGAAGTGTTCCTAAACACGCGACATGAAGAGTGAGTGGTCCTTATAAGTGTGTGCCCGCGGGGTGAGTATATTCTTCAACAGTTGGAGGTGGTTAGCTAGTGTGTGAGAGAGGTGATACATTTTTTTAATAAAGATGCTTTAATTTATCATGTAGTGTGGAGTCAGTGGATAAGCATAAAGACCCAGAAGGCCAGAACTGCAATCCCTAATGCATGGGTTGGACTTGGAAATTAGTTATAAAAAAAAACATATTTTTTAACCGTTTTAAATTATTCGAATTATAATCAATATTATTTTTTAGCGCAGGAAGAAACATATTTAACGAGTCATCTACACAATAGAAACGGGACATTTATGAGGAAAATGACCCGCCCATACAGGCAAACCATTTCTAGCTTTAGGAACCTCGTGTTGGAAAATCTGAAGTTTAAAATATACCTTAATCTCACCGACTTTTAATAAACCTAATATTTTAATTGGTACATAATTGCTATGCTTAAACAAATAAAATCCATGCAGGATTTTTTACTATAGTTTATTAGTGATAAAACTAAAACAATAATCATATGCCTGATTTTTTTTTATATATATAGTATGTACTTTTCATATTATTCTTTTTTTGTATGTATATATAGTATTTTAATGTTTGTTGTACAAATTTTGTACATGTAAAACGTACTAGTAATTGTTTACCTAACAATACTTAAAAGGGTGGTCATAACAATTCCACACTTACAAAAGCGGTGTGTCTCGATAGCGTGGAGTCAAAGATAGAAAGCAATGTTGAACCATAAAGTGTCATGTCAGAGAATAAAGTTTCATACCAAACTTTGAATCAAAGCAAAGGGATGGAAATCTGAAATGTTGAATTGAAATGACAAAGTGGTTAAAATGCAGCTAGTGAGTTCAGTTAGCAATCATGGATTCATGGTGGAGCCTAAATCCCAATTGAAGAAACTTGGTTAGGTAGTCATAAATCATTAATGTTAATCACCGATTATGGTACATGACAGGGAGGTGGGTGGTGCAATGACATGAGATCATGCTTGGACAGAGCGCAAACTCGCAGGGGCTCAACACGCTATATGACCGAGTGGGAGACCTTCTCTGGTATTTTAAGCAACAATGCCACCCTTAATCCAGGTAAATCAACTTTTGCTTTGTTTTGTTTTCTTCTTTTATTTGAGAATTATAATAACTTGAATTTAAAGGTCCCTTTGTTTTAATAGAATATATAATTGACTGTATATAATGTCACTTTTTCAATTAAAAAATTTGTTCAAAAATATTTCTTAGAAAAAGATATTTTTCAAAAATATTTTCATAGTGTATATATTTTTTCATAGTTTTGTTGATAAATATGTAGATTTCTTATCAAATCCACTTGATTATTGAAACGAATATATCCTTGAAAGGATATCAATTAATAATTATGCTTACGCCATAACTTCTTGAACCTTATATACAACAGGGACCTATATACAATGTTATTAAAACCGGCTCGATCATTGACCTGATCGAGGTATTGGGTCACTGGTTCAATCAGTGAGTCACTGGTTCAATCGCATGACCCGGTAATTATATGTAATTTTATAATTTATATTAAAAAATTATAAACATACTCAGATATCTAAAAAAATGATAAAGATTTCAAATATTTTAATATAAAAAAATAATAAATCACATATTATTATTCAATAAAAGATCTAACAAAAACATAATGATCGTGATACGAGACTTTAGGTTCAGAAAACGACATCTCTAACTATAAATCAAATCAAAATTTTCTGTATAATGCATAATTGAGATAATATTAGTGTTGTAGGTATATAATTTATGTAAGTCAATAAGCAGAAAACTATTCAAATATGTCCATTATGATTTTTTTTTTGAAAAAAAAAATTTGAATTTCTTTTGGGACCGGACCGGGTCATCGGTTAACCGACTGGGTCATCGATTTTCACGAAAATCGATCGGGTCAGACCGGGTCGCACTGACTTTGATGCATGACCCGTCCGTTGCTTCAACCGAATCGGTTATATGACCGGTTTATCGTTTCCCGGATCGATCCGGCCGGGTCGGTCCAGATTTCTTGTCTATATATGTGCTGATGTGTGCAATTGCAGGCATTAATATTTTTATATTACAATTGTTTTTGGTTCAGCAACTACAAGAAAAATTGAGTTTATAACCTCTTTAAATTATTCAAATTTCTCTTAGGAAAATACTATTCTCATGTTATATGAGATAAACTTCTCTCCCTACTCCCTTTGATAACTGTGTTATTTTTTCTTTTATTTTATTTTTATTTTTCAGATAGTGGACCCCACAAGTTTATCTCTATGACATGAGATAACTTATCTCCTTTAACTTGAGATTAATAAAACATTTTCTCCTAACTGCCTGAGGGATAGATATATACATTAAAGAATAAGTACTATTAATTTTTTAAATTACTCAAATTCCTCTTCACAGCCTCGGGGATAAAGGGATATAGACATTATACGATAGACGTACTAATAGCATTTTTCTTTTTTTCCTTTTTGGTAACTAGGGAGGGCATAATTAAGCCCAGAAAACAACTAGCATTTTTCTAATTGGTAACATCATCGTAGGTATTTTTTTTTTAATTTTACTTTGTACTTTTTCTGTGGCGGTGGTCTTTATAAATTAGCTGTCCTTTGATTTTAGAAACTATGGTTAACTGACAAACAGGGCAATCCAATAATGTCGAGTGAAGCTCCACAATAGCGTCCATGTACCGCCAGATTCCCTTTCACGTGCTCTTGTTGCCTATTTTGCTACCTCATGTTTTTTCACCTTCTTCCATTTTCCACTTAGCTTTCTTCTGCATAAAGCTTACCAATCTTGTATGCTTCTGTTGTCATTTAGGCTCGTGACTGTGAAATGACAAATACCACCATTCCCGTTTCATAACTCTAAACTGTCTTTGTTTCTTGTGGTTCTTTATTTTCTTCTTTTCTTAATCCCCACTTTACCATTCTTCATCTCAGCTGTTGTAGACATACCGTGTTTCTATCTAAAATTATTTGGGATGATGTGAGCATTATGATAGGTAATATATGTTGCCTTTAGATCCGTGACCTATGCGTTGTTTCTTTTCGTGAAGAAAAAAAGAGTAAATATTTTTTTTTGTCTTCAGCAAATTTTACGATGTCCGCTTTAGTTCTTAGCAAATAAAAAATGTATCCGTGATCTTCAAGAAATTCAAAATGGACCCATTTAGTTGAAATTATGGTCCCTCGCAAATTCAAAAAAGACTCACATTAGTTCATCAAAAGAACTCAAATTGGTCCACTTTGAATTTTTTAGTGATCACGAATAACTTATTTATTTGTTAGGGATTAAAGTGAGCATAGTAAAATTTCTTGAGGAAAAGGTATTTACTCAAGAAAAAAAACATTTTCCCACTTTGTAGAATAAAAAAAAGTTATCGTATCAACTGTGAGGTAATGTATCTTCAGTTTAGTTCCGTGACCCATTCCTTGCTTCTTTTCATGCATGAAAAAAAAAAACATTTTCCAATTTTGTAGAGCGAAAAAAAGTTAATAAATATTAAATTTGTAGATGTATGAAAACAATAATACAAATATTTTGTTAGAGAAATATAATATTAAAATAATGAGTTCGATTTTTTTACAATGTAGATAATTTATCTACAGTGAGCCCAAAACGACGTCGTTTTGAGGCAGAAATCAAGGTATTTTTGTAATTATAATTTATTTCAGGGTTATAATAGTCTTTCTCATTATAATTTTTTAATTTTTCAACCCAAAACGACGTTGTTTTGAGAGTGAATGTAGATAATTTATCTACATTCACTTTAGAATTGATAAGTATTCAGTTCAAGTTTAAACTGTTGACTTAAATTGGTTGCTTATTATAATATAAGAACCAAAATAATTATAGAAGAGAAATTTTTTTTTTTTTTTTGATAACAAGAGAAAAATATTTATCCTTTTAAATGACACAATTTATATCCTTTCACTCTCATAAAGAGGTGAGACCCACACCTTTATTTTTTTTGTCAACTCTCTCTCCTCATTTATTTATCTCTTTCTCTCTCTTAAAATGACACAATTTTACATCCTTTAAAATGACATACATTTTCCCCATTATAGAATTACAAGTTTGATCCTTAACATTTTTTTGAGTCGAATTAATTGCTTTACATATTTCAATGACTATTCATTGTAACATGATATGTGATTTATAAAAGAAAAAAATTCCTTATAAACACTTTAGTCTTATTATAATTTTTTTAAACGATTCAGATAAACTTACCTTAAAACTAAGCAACTGTCATCGCTTTGTTAAAATATGTATGGAAAGAAGCGAACTATTTTTTTTTTCTCTTCTGTTTCCTATTTAATATTTAGACTTTATCTTTTTGGATGTTCTTTTTTCTTTTTTGTAATTAAAATCTTGCGTTTGTCTGTGATCGGTGTTCATACCAGACTTTTACAATTGGAACCGTGTGAAGCTGAGATATTGTGATGGAGCTTCATTTACTGGGGACGGTGTGTTCGACAATGGGGTAATTTTCTCAACGCCTCTCCCCGATACGACATTATTCTTAAGCAGAAATCATAGTATTTTTATAATTTTAATTTATTTTAAAGTTATAATAGTTTTTATATTTATAATTTTTTAAAATTTTAATACCCAATCGACGTTATTTTAGAATAAATGCAAATAATTTATCTGTATTAACTGCAGAAACATTTTTCCATTTAATATATAACAGTAGACAAAAAAATTAGGTAGAATAATATATTGGAAAAATATTTCTCAAGCTGCTTGAGATAAGTTTATTTCCGATCATCCCAAAACTACATCGTTTTGATTATTTATCTTCTTATATTTATTGATTCACCTTTGAATAATTATGATTCTCTTTTTCTCTTTCTTCATTTATCACCATTGATCCATCTTTCTATGGTTATGATTTAGTAGCCGGAGATAAAGTTATCTCCGGTAGCTTGAGAAATGTTAAGCCCATAATATATATATATATATATATATATATTAAAAAAGAATAAGATATTATGCATATTTCTTTTATAACTATTTTTTTTTTGGTAATCTTTTTTATATCTATTTTACCTATTCTTATTATATCAAAATCTCAATTAATTTTTAATAATTCTTTCTTCTGATGATATTATGATTTAACATGATAAAAAAAAATTAGTTAGTAAAGTAGACATAAAAAAAATAAAAATAGACACATTGTCTTATCCTATTAAAAAAATTCCAAAATTCAGGGAGGGGTAGTGCGGTGGCCAACCCAGCCTCTCCAGTCTCCCCTAGGTCCGTATGTGAGGGAGTGACTTTCCCAAGGTTCAGGGTTTCAGATTTCAGACTAAACCAGACCAAATTCTGGTTGTAAAAAAGAAAAAGAAAAGGAAAATTACCGTAAATTCGGGAGGGTAATGGTTTAGTTAACATCACGGGCATTAGTGTTACATCAACATTTTTCATGTATCTTGTTACTTGCAGTATAAAATCAAGTTTACTGAATAATGTAACTCTTCGTGTTTGTGATATGAACATCAGACAACAACGCTTTATTTCAAAGGGCAAAGGATTTGGGAAGCCATTATTCACGACCTTCTACCAAAGGGTTTGGGAAGGGCAAGAAAGGTACACTACTCCTCTATGGTGTTTGCTTTCGTTTGTTCTCTCAACTAAAGATATATTACTAGCAGTTTATGTCAACTGATTGTATTATATGATGTGAACGAAATTTATAATACCTTTGTATCTCTTGTCTAGGCTTTGCTTTCAGGATGTTCAGCAGGAGGTTTAGCTACCTTTCACCATTGCGACGATTTCACCAAGTATTTGCCAATTAATGCTAAAGTTAAATGCTTGAGTGATGCGGGTTTTTTTCTTGACGAGTATGTTTAGTCTATCTTGAGTAATTTCAACATAATCTTCAGCTGAATTTCTCCAAAATCTTAATATTAACATTTCCTTTGCCACCCTTTTTGCAGAACAGATATAAGTTTGAAGCACACTATGAGGATCTTCGTCGAGAGTCTAGTTTCATTACAGGTAGTCTTCAATAAATGCGCCATATATACGTGCTTATGTTTTGAGGTACTTATCCAGTGTCTTGTGCAACAGGGGGTGGAGCAGAACCTGAATAGAAACTGCACCAGTGAGCTGTACCTTCCATACTTGGTATGTTTTCCCATGAAGTTGCATCATTAGCTCAAGAAAATTATACAAGATTTTGATGTTTGTCATGTTTCCATGCAGTGCTTCTTTCCACAATATGCGTTGAAATACATATCAACACCATATTTTATCTTGAACTCTGCCTATGATGTGTTCCAAGTAATATTTTTTGACATATTTTTTCCTATATTGCACATTATCTTAATTCATATAATTGGCGAATTATGAGATGAATAAACTTATAATGTCAACAGTTCCATCATATATTGGTGCCATCTTCTGCTGACTTGCATGGACGCTGGAATCACTGCAAGATGAACCCAGAGGCGTGCACACCTGACCAAATTAATATTTTGCAAGGTTCCTCTTCCATAATTTGTCATTAACTAAATTCTTCCTTCTCGTTATAAATAAAACTGATTTTCCTTACTCAGTGCACTTTATTCAGGTTTTAGGCTCCACATGCTTGGAGCTTTAAGGCAGTTCGACATATATTCAACAAGAGTGGGAATGTTCATAAATTCATGTTTTGCTCATTGCCAAAGTGAATTGCAAGATACATGGTTTGGAGCTGATTCTCCAAGAATAAACAACAAGGTAACAATCTTACTCATTGACAGCGAGACATGATAATAAACTTGTTTTTAGTATGTGAGATTTAACTAATTTGTTAAGTGAACATCTATGCTGTGCAACTTATTACCCAGACTTCTGATGACCAATCAAGCCGAAACCCTGTGTAAAATAGGAGAAAGAGTTCGAATTATAAAATATAACAGTCTAAGATCTTGAACTATGTGTCGTCATTGTAGTATTATATTATTTAATATTCGATTCTTTAACAAAAATTTAAGGTTTACACTTAAAAACGAAGTGATCCTCGAACTTTCAGCATAGTGAATTTTCTAAGTCAGCGACATGGTTAAACTGCTCTATTTTTTACAGACTATTGCCGAAGCGGTTGGTGATTGGTATTTTAGCAGAAACAGAAGCAATGAAATAGACTGTGCATATCCATGTGATACAACTTGTCGTAATCTTATACCATAAGCTCAGGTAATTCCTTCTTATACTAATATTGCATACTAGTTCTCTTGGATATCATGTTGACTTTAAGGCCCAGTGATCTGTCTCAATTTGAAATGTTGGCAGGTCATTTAGAGGATTAAACTAAAAGTTTATCCACAAGCTTCTCTAGTTCTCATAGTGAAGGTCTTAAGAGTTCTCTAAAAAGAGGATTCAGAGGGATTTTTTGATACGAAGCCATACAAGTACACAGTGAATGCTAGCAGATAGAAAATTCTTTGATATGAACAAGAAAGGTGATAAAGGAACCAAAAGAGAAAATGTGGTTTCAATTATTATTTCTAAATTATTTTTTTACTTAATAAAATCAATTGGCTTTTGTTTCTTATGTCTGAAAGCTCTCGTCATGTCTTGAAACTTGATACATGTTATCAATCCCACTCAACCCTTGAAACTTGATACATGTTATCAATCCCACTCAACCCTTCTTCTCTCTGAGTTTTTATCCAAAGTACTGGGCACATCACTTCAATGCTTTTGCACTTACAAGTAAATAAATGGATCGTCTAAAGTGGTGTAACTCCTCTGAATAACAAAAGGAACTGATTATATGTAATTTTAATATCTTCTAGCTAAAAAGGAGACATGGCCAGTTCTTTTTATATTTGGTGGTTTTATTTTTGGGGTTGCCACCTGTAGTTTAGCAGTTCCCTTCTGCATAGCAGCCCAAGGCAAACTTCAGAGTTTAACTATAGCTTCTACGTTATTCCACCGTTTTAATCTACCTCAAGCTCGTGGACTTTCGGAAATAGTTGGACATATATTCTGAGTCTGAGAGGAGTTTATCTCAGATCCTCAACAGAGACATATATAGGTAAGCTCTTGGAAGGTTTTTATAAGGAATTGAATGCCTAAGGCATCACCTTTCCAAATGACTCATATATTTACCTGTGAAAACTGTTGGATATATTAACAATACAGTCCTACAATATGTTCCAATAGCTGATAACATTATTATTTGGATTTATATGGACTAGAACGTAAACACAATTGAACATTCCAAATCTTATGTCTCTGCTCTATCCAAACATAGTCAAAATTTAGTTCTTCTGGTTATCACTAATCACTATTAAAATGAGATTTGTCTTTCAATAACATCATCAAAGGCTCAACCGAAACCAAAACTTATGGCAAACAATTAAGTTAGAAATTAGAATGTTCTTTGGACAACCACGTATGCGCCACTATCGATATCAACTCTACTAAGAAACAGAGAGTTGAGAAGTTGTTTGTTCTTTCCTTCTTTTCTCTTCCCAATTCCCGCCTACCAAATCATTGTCATTATAATTCCAGTTACTAAACAGACATGCTTATAAAGAAAACGCAAGACAAACGAAAATATGAAAAAATAAAAAGGAAAAGAAAGAGAGATGGGAATAATTTCTAACTCATAATCCCTAAAGATCTGCTTGAAATTAGCTTTAGCTTTTTTTTTTTTTTTTGTTAGTGGGGAAATTTTCTTCAATACTCGCGTACTAACGAAAGTTGAGTTAATCTTTTACTCAATTTGGAAAAAAGTAATATAAATGACTTTTATCATTATACCCATCCTCTTACGATTATTAGCAGTTAAGTCTCATTTTTTCTACAGGTATTCATTCCCATAGTACCAAAAATATGCTCGTTGGTGGGGTTCTTTATAGGATGCAATTTTATGCCAACAATCTATATGATTTCTTCAATATATTGTAGTGACCCACACGGCCACACCTATGTTTTCTTTTATTTTTCAAGAAAAATCTGAATCTTGCATATGTTACAATCAGTATAGATTACAAAATACAAAATCTTTAAATTAAGACTCTTATAGTATGAAATCAACCACTGTTCCTGCAAAGTTAAAAACTTCCTCGGAGGGTCCGCTGAATGAACATAAAGTGCCATGTAAGTTGAAAAGAAAAAAACGATCAACCGGGCAAACAAGAATTGCTCCAATCAAATGAAAACAATTCAGAAACGTTCAACGGGTCTTCAGATTGCCAAAAAAGATTTCTCTTTGGCTATGCAGGGGGAAAAAATTGAATTCAGCACCAACAGACCAAGAACTCGCTGAAATTAAACTGAAAATTTTGGAATATATTTAGGGTTTTGATTTTAATTTCGGTATATTTAATATTGGGAAATTTTATATAATAAAGACATTTTTATATTTTACATGAAATCACAACGGGCCTAAACTATTAAGTTTGAAGGGTTAAATGATATATGCTATAATCATTAGGTAAAAATGTGTTTTTTTTTTTTTTAAATTATTTAACGTAAGTTGTAGTGTTGTACTACATCAAGGGGTTCATTGTTGCTCTTGTCTCTTTATTAGGTCTATTGGGACTTCCCTCCGAAATTGGTCAAGGTAGAGGTGGTTTGGACTTTGGAAATATTCAGCTTCTGCATCACTAGTGGATAAGCTTCTTCTATGGCGGTTAGTAAACAAACAGTGATGACCTAATAACTACTTGATTTGAAGCAGAAGAACATCATTTTGTTTTTGTGGAAACCCTGCATAGGAATTTCCTTTATCATTGGGCATTTTGCATCCAGTTGCATAAAATATGAATATGAATGTACTTAGCTCAACAAGACAAAGTTTTTCTACAAGGGTAATTACGATAAAAATATACTTACCATGAAAAAAATTTACAACTTTTATAATTAATTTAATTATCGTTGATTTTCGTCAATTTAACAGTTATAATTTATGAGAATTAATAATTAATTAATAAATACGATCCAATAATTTTTAATAAATTATAACTGTTAGATTGACAGAAATCAACGATGATTAAGTTGATTGTCAATGTTATAAACTTTTTTTGATGGTAAATATGTTATTACTCCCTAGTTATTTCTTACATTTGTAAATAACTAACAACATTATAATATTATATTTCCCACCAAAACATTAAACCACACCTTTCATATCACATCCACCTATCCTCCAACACCACACCACACCACACCACACCTCAGCGCCACCACCACTGCCACCACCCTTTCACCCGAAATTACCAAAACACCATCCACGTTATGCATAACCAAAACATTTTCTTATTCACATTTCCTACATTACCCACTCTCTCTCTCATCATCCTTCATCCTATTCCTACAGAGGCAAAGCTCATCAACAAGAAGAACAGCACGAGAACGAGACACGCTTCCATCAGAAGAATCAATTGGGTTGTTCCCAAGGCAATAATGCGTTGCTCTTCCTTCAGTTCTCACAGTGGCGTTGATAACGATGACAGCAACAACAACAACAATAGTGCTTCTTTCCGCAACTTCAAGCTGAACGAGTCCACCTTCTTGGCTTCCCTCATGCCCAAAACAGAGATTGGCGTCGACCGTTTCCTCCATTCTCATCCAAACTACGATGGCCGCGGTGTTCTCATTGCTATCTTCGGTACCCATTTCATAAAGCTCTTCCCTTTTTGTTGTTGTTGAACATGGGTTGTTTTTGTTGTTCCAATTTGAGTACTGGGTAACTGGGGATCGTTGAGGAAGGGTAAATGGTTAATGAAGATTTGGTGGTGTGAGTGTGACCCTGTATTTTGAGGTTGAGGGAGACTTGAAAAGTTTGTGTCTTTAGCTGCATGGATATACTTGTTGGGGGTTGCAATCGGTTGCTTTAATTATTAAATTATAGCAGTTTTCTTTGCTTATTGATCAAAATTGTTGACTTTGTTGGAGTCTGAATCTAAATGATGATTTTCATTTGGTTTGGATGGGTTACGTTTCATGATATCATTTGTGTTGGATTCCCAGAAGGTGGTTGTGGTGAAGGTAGATTAAAATATAAGCAAAAACATGCACGAAAACTCTCAAGGACGAACTTGTATTTGTTGAATGTCATAGTATGTAAGTGTGAAATAGTGGTCGAGTTAATAATCTCAATCAGTCAAAGAGTTTAGTTACATTATTTGAAACTTTGTTTCTCCATGAGTTTTCATTTTAATTCACTTAATTGCGTAATTATTTTAATCAAGTTAAATCAATAAACTTATAAGGACTAAAAACACTATCTAACAAATTCTAAATAGTGCGTCCAAGGTTGACAGACTTTGGAGTCTATATCAGTTTTCTTTTGAAAATTATTGAAAATATTGCTTGTGTCTTTAGTTAGTTTTTTCTGTAAGCTATTTATTAGCCTCGAAAAGAGAAAAAAAAATAACACTCTTGCTGTTGTTTTAATGTAATGTAGGAAGTTTTTCTGATCTCTCTCTCTCTCTCTCTCTCTCTCTTTTTAAAGTTATTATGTTTTGAAGAAAAAACTTGTTGGAATGCATGTTAAAAAGTAATACAGTATCTCCATTTCAAGCACATGGTTGGCTATTGATGCAAACACACGGGATGAATACAAGAATCAAAATGAATTTGAAAAGATATAACCTGTTGATCGGATGCGTGATTGACAATTAGTTGGTCAGTGTAATGAATTATTTTGTGCTATAGCAAGTTTTTCTTTTCTGAACAATATTAGTGGTTAGCTTTTGGTGTTATTTCAATATCTGAATGACTGGATTTCGTAGCCCTGTGTAAACTATTCTTTTTTTGTGTTAGGGGGGCGGGGAGGAGATTCTTGTTCATTGTTCTCTGTAGAGTTCTTCAGTAAAACCAACCTTGATTTCATTTTATTAATAGATAGTTGCAATTTTCACCACTTAGTTCTGTCTCTAGCTTGGTGCCCATCTAATTTGCTTCGTTCAAAAAGTTTCATAACCTTAATATCTATTGTGATATGTACCAAAAAAATAATAATATCTATTGTGCATGTATTTTGATATGTGTTAGTGTTATGCTGTAATTGGTGCTGCCATGCTGGTTCTTATGGCAAATGTGTTTAATCATATGATCTGCATGTTTTCAGATTCTGGTGTAGACCCGGCAGCTGCAGGATTACAGATTACCTCAGATGGGAAACCAAAAATTCTTGATATCCTTGATTGGTAAATAGAAGCTACTTGATGTTTGACTTTTATTTGATATGTGTTATAGTAAATATGTGATACCTTTTTTTTTTGTCTTCAGCACTGGAAGTGGAGATATTGATACCTCAAAGGTGGTGAAGGCTGACGCTGATGGTTGTATTTCTGGGGCATCAGGTTAGAGCTAGGGAATAAATAGTGGTCAGACATTCTTCAATATATCTTAGTATGTGCAAATTGCTAATAACTTCATAGATATTGGAACAACTTCATATCTCTACAGGCGCTATTTGTGATAACTACAAGCTGCTGATTATCAATCTTAAATTCATACTCGAATCAATCAGTGAAGTGACAACCGTGGGCTTTTCACACTTCTCATTTTTGAATGTGAAAAGGATAGCTAAAATAAACATAAAGCAGTTTACATTGAGTAGGACAATCTGTAGTCAAATTAGTACAAATGATTATACGTGTAGTGAATACTTGATTTCTAGTACCTGAATGAAGTAACAAATAATGAGTTTAAGCTTTTCTACTTAAACTATTCTGATGTGTGCCTGATGGGAGAAAGTTTATGAGGGTATGTGAAAGGAAGCGTTACAGGGGATCTAGGCCACATAGTAATCATGAGGTGGCATAACTAACTAAGAGGAAGGAGAATGTGGGGTCTGGAGGTTGGTTGTTACATGGTATATGGCGTGGGAACGAGTTCTGTGAGAGGCATCTAAAATTTGTTTAGGATTTGGAACTGGGATTGGGAAAGTCCAGGCATCTCTGAAGTTTTGGGTTATCTTTTGTTTTTTTTATACTTTTATTTCATTGAACTCTGTAACTCCATGGCTGGATATTGCTATACCAGTACTCTGTATTCATCATTTTACAAATATCAGTAAACTTGCTATTTCAATTCCATTTTCAGTGTTTTGTTGTCACTTCTTATTGAATTACCCCTAAACCTAACAGTGCACTATAACCCTTATTTATTCTTCACGTTATTTAATATTGTTGAGAATGAATATTTCTTTCTTTTTCCTTCTACCTTTCCTCTCTCAGTATTTTTGCGTGTGATCCCTAGTATTGCAAATATCTATAGCTTCCCAGTCATTCTTGTTTCGTGTTACTTTTCTTTCTTTGAAGATAATTACCGATTCTGGACAAATGATTAGAATCAATCAGAGTTATTATGATTTATTCTGATTTAGGAATTATTGTAGCAGATAGTTTTTAGGATTCATTTCTTTCCTTGTTTAGCTAGGCTGTTTATTTTCTGTAACTGGACAGATCCTATTGTGATTTTTAGGTACCAGATGTGGGTCCTAAAATTATGGGTAAAGATACCAAACACTTGTTTATATTTTAACTTCCTATTACAATGGAAATTAGAGAATTCCATCATCCGATCCTTTATTCTTCCTTATTCCTAGTCAAGGAATGTAAACTGCATTAAGCTCTTGTTTGTGCTTAAATGTTCATACTAAATTTGTGCAGGGGCATCTTTGGTTATCAATACCTCGTGGAAAAATCCTTCTGATGAATGGCATGTGGGTTATAAATTGGTTTATGAGCTTTTTACAGAAAAATTGACTTCTCGTTGGAAGGTATCATTATAGTTTATTGAAATATTATAGTTGCTCTTTAGACTTCGTACCTATGGCTAATAGATCTAATTTCCCCTTTTCTCCTCCTAAAATTTTTATGGGCAGAAAGAAAAAAAGAAAAAGTGGGACCTGAAAAACCAGGAGGAAATTGCTAAGGCTGTAAAACAACTTGATGAATTTGATCAGGTTAATTGGAAAATTTGCTTGATTTTTATATATTCCATTACTTCAATTCACGATCTACTTTGTTTAGTAGGCACTGGACATCACATTTTACAGAGGCAAGATGCTGCATGTGTTGTGTTAAAATTTGTTGTTTAACAAATGTTTCTTATTTTCTTAGTATTTGCTCTTGTCTCTCCTCTTTATTTGCATGCATAACTTAAATACTATTTTTGGAAAAAGAAAGGGAATTCCCACTTTTGGTGACAGTTGTACCTTTTTTGTCATATTTCAACATGCTACGATTGCTCTAGTTTTCATCTGCAAATACTCAACAGACAAATTGCCTCATAGCATTAAGAGCAAAAGAGAAGGAAAAAGGGAAAGAAAATATGAAATGGATCCTATAAATACAAATTAGCATTGTGAGATGCGTGATTATTTCCTTTAGGCTACTCATGTACAAAGATGAAATCTTTTATTTGATTTTTTTTTATTTTAGTTACCAGATGAAGTTGCAGATTATGTTTCTTCTAATTTTGTAAATAGCTATAATGCTTCTCTAGATATAATGTGCTTGATTGCATTCCATTATATCTTTTATTCCAAATAACTCAAAATGTTATGCATTTTCTAGCAACACATCAAGGTGGAGGATGCTAAACTTAAAAAAGCTCGTGAAGATCTCCAGAATAGGATTGATCTTCTAAGAAAGCAATCTGAGGTGGGTGCTGAACATGTTACATACTTTTGTTGTCCTGTGTATTGCTTCATTTTCCTCTCCTTGAAACAGGAAACAAGTAATTTATTCCAGTTTTCATTTAGTTGTATGACATTCAGAATTTCTTTATTGCCCAACACCTTTCTGATGTTTGAAATATAATATTGTTGGTAAAATGGTAGAATCGTGGTGTTGAATGATGTGTTACGGGGCCCTTAACCTTTTTATGGGATACAGTTGTTTTCTTGCCTTAGCTGTGGGTGTTGGCCTATGGTTTTCTTCATGGGAGCTTCTATAATGGGTATGAAGGGGAATTGGGGAGCTGCAGAGAAGTTTAAATGAAATTGTGTGTTATGCACTATACACTGATCTCTTTTTACAGTGTGATTACAACCAAGTCAATAGAGTAATAAGGGGACTAATTAGGAGCAAATTAGAAGCTAACTTACAGCCTAATTGCTAACTTAATTGCAGTAATCCACATAATTGCATTTAACCAAGGCATGTTGTTAACACATGTGCTAAATCTAGCAGGGCTAATATTCTCTGTTTTGTTTCTTTGTTTTGGTGTTTTTAGGGTTGTTTTGCAGATTATCTTGTGCTTCTGCTATGTACTTTTCTGTCACGTTTAATATATTCATTACTTTTCAAAATTGGTGATTGAAGAAAATCCAAGGGGTAGTGTGGTAGTGCTTTCAGAGGCTATGGTGGCATGTATTGGGTGTGACAATGCTAGTAGCCATGATGTTGCTGAGTGAGTTGGGATGATAATGTTGGGGTTGTTATGGTGAACTACTGCTATGGCCAAAAAGAAAGGGCTAATACTTCAAATATGGCAAGGATAGAAATTGTCAAGGTGTTTGTGGTAGTGTTAAGGCTGATGCCTCTGATATTTGTAGTGGACTTGGTGGTTGTGTGCAACACTAGTGATTATGCAACTCCTGTTATTACTTGAAGTACTGGTGGCCTTGGCACTGGTGACCAGGGGCAAAGCCTAGCAATAAATATTTGAAGAGGTTACAAATCATCAAGGTTCTTCAAGTTAAAATAGAGGTTTTGATGAAGCTAAACATGTATTTCTCACAAATAAAATCATTAAAAAAATAACTCTTGGATTTTGAAAATTTATGGTGGTCCGTGGTACACACCTACTCACACATACACACACTAAAAGAAGACAATTATACTTGTGTTGTGCTTGTTTACTTGCTCCCTGATCCCGCTCAGTATTTAGTCAATTGAATTTTCTTACTCAAAAGGCAATGCTGTTCTATGTTTTAGAAGTTCGATGATAAAGGGCCTGCCATAGATGCTGTTGTCTGGTATGATGGAGAGGTCTGGAGGGCTGCTCTTGACACACAGAGTCTTCAGGACGATCCAGATTGTGGGAAGCTTGCTAACTTTGTGCCTTTAACTAATTTTAGGTACATTTGGTTGCCGTTGTTATTAATTTATTCTAAATTTTAATCCCAGTTGATTGCTTTCGTGAAGCAAAGTCTTGTGAAATTGGCAGATACTCATTTTTGGACAATGGATTTCCTACTTCTGAGTCCCTGTGTGCTATTCACATCACAAATTAATCAACCTTCGATGTATTTGTCATGGCATATCCCTCTCTACATGTCTTTTTACCCTTTTACTCTGCATTGAATCAAAAACCATGTTGTCATATTGAATTATTTATGAATTTTTATTGTGTTATTCATACTTCAAAAAAATGCTTGGCGGGATTGTAAAGGATGTATATGCATAAGTCATAACGATGTAAAGCACATTTTAAAAGAACTAAAGGAAAATTTTAAGTGATTGTTGATTCTATCTTTGATTTAAAATTTTCGAAAGGATGAGTAGGACTTGCATGAGATGTATGGTGCATGGAGTTCTTGTGTTATTTTCAAATCGTTTATTTCTTTTGAAAATTTGAAATTTTATGTGATGTACATCCTGCATAATATTGAACAGCTTTGGTGACATTCTGGAAACAGCAGCTCTCAGTTTATCTTGTTTCTCTATATGGATTTTAAGATTTCTTACTGATTTATGTATCACTTAACAAAAAATTCAACATTAACAACCAAGCTTATCCCACTAGATGGGAAAGGCTACATGGATCAATGTGCCATTGGGCTCTACCAAAAACCAAAATTTTGGTAAAATCATTTCTAGCAAGGTCTACTTTAATAATTTCTCTTAATGCTTTATGAGGTCTTCGTTTGGGATAAAAGTGTTGTTGATGTTGATGATGTTGCTTTATGAGGTTTTCCTCTACCTCATTTAATTGAACTCTATCTTTTATTTGTTCCAACTTCTGAGTTTCCTCATTGGAGACTATTGTTCTTCTTCTCACATGACCAAACCGCCTTAGTCAAGTTTCCTCCATATTCTCTTCATATTTCTCTAGGATACGTTTGTTCCCAATCTTATCTTTTCTTGATTGTATGTTCACCCATCCACCAGGCATTCTCATCGCTCCATCACAAATAATGCCAGGAAAAAAAAAACAAATAAAGAAAATTATTATTTTCCAGAAAAGTAGCAACCTGATAATTAAGCAGGAAGAGTTCAGTGGTTCCCCCATCTTTATTGTAGTTGAGAGATGTTTATGTGGTTTAGCTACTAAAGCAATTATCATTTTAATTCTAATCAGTGTGATAGGCATTAAAATTTTGAATGTTACAGCCTATTTTTGTGATCCGGTTCAGGACTGAGAGGAAGTATGGTGTCTTCAGCAAATTAGATGCTTGTACATTTGTTGTGAATGTCTATAATGATGGGAACATCTTAAGTATTGTAACAGACAGCTCCCCTCATGGCACCCATGTCGCTGGTATAGCCACTGCATTCCATCCAGAGGTACAGACATAATTTTGTCCATATAGTGCAATTCCTATGAAGAACATTATACATTATAATATATGGTATGGTACTGTTGTTAGGAACCCTTGTTGAATGGAGTTGCGCCTGGAGCACAATTAATATCTTGTAAAATTGGGGACTCTCGCTTAGGTTCAATGGAAACTGGAACTGGTTTGACTCGGGCACTGATAGCGGCTGTGGAGGTGCTTCAAATTTTTTTTCCTCATTGCATAATTATCCTGCATATTTCAACAGCTGAAATAGATTTGTCTTTGATATTTGTGTGTTTGACATAATTAATTTTGTTTTAGGATTTTCTGATGTTTGACATAAGTAACACATTGTAGTATGGCCTTGTCACATTTCTTTTGCAGCATAAATGCGATCTTATCAACATGAGTTATGGTGAGCCAACATTGCTGCCAGACTATGGACGCTTTGTTGACCTTGTGAATGAAGTATCCTCTGAGACTTCCATTTTTACTGGGCCAGTTATATCTTTCCTTTGCTATGTTCCATTCTCTAAGCTATGGATGTTTTGGATGATTTATTTCTAGGCAGTAAACAAGAACCGTCTGGTATTTGTGAGCAGTGCTGGTAATAGTGGACCAGCATTGAGCACTGTTGGTGCACCTGGTGGTACCTCTTCAAGTATCATAGGTGTTGGCGCTTATGTTTCTCCTGCTATGGCTGCTGGTGCTCACTGTGTTGTTGAACCTCTATCTGAGGGGCTTGAATACACTTGGTATATTTGCTTCTCTGTGGAAACTTTCTAATTGGATGACTTCCTTTACCAATTTTATCTTTCACTTTGTTCTTCTGGGTTTGCATCATTATCATTGCATGATTGATGGAAATAATTTGCAGGTCTAGCCGAGGACCAACAACCGATGGAGATCTTGGTGTTTGTGTAAGTGCTCCTGGTGGCGCTGTTGCTCCTGTCCCTACATGGACTCTTCAACGGCGTATGCTCATGAATGGGACATCAATGGCATCACCGTCAGCCTGTGGGGGAATTGCATTGCTCATAAGTGGAATGGAGGTTCTAGGATATGATTTTTATTTAGATTGTATGATTTTGTTGGTGTTAATTTGTACACATATCCATAATTTTCCAATGTGTATGATCTGCATGCAGGCTCAGGAAATTCCTGTGAGTCCATATAGTCTGAGGAAAGCCCTTGAGAATACATCTATTCCCATAAGTGATTCACCGGAGGATAAATTGTCCATTGGGCAAGGGCTTATGCAAGTTGACAAGTTCGATATTTCCCCGTCTTTATTTTCTTGGAAATTGTAGTAAATGGTAATTTTATAAGATTTGGCATTGACTTAAATCAAATACTCAATGACAGGTGTTATGAATATATACAGCAGTCTCAAAATATTCCATGTGTTTGGTATCAAATAAACATCAAGCAATCTGGAAAAACAAGTGAGTTCACATTCTCTCCTGGACATTTCGCCTTCCCCTTTTGAGAAACAAGATGAAGGAAATAGATATATTTTGGCTTCCCCTTATGCGTTTATTCATGCCTGTACAATTGGTGCGGCATGTCATTTGCAATAGAAATTGAATTATACGGGGATAAAAAAGGTTGCTGACATATAAATTGTAATAAAATCTTATATTGAAGTAAGAGCATGTATTGAAATTGGCAAAATTATATCCCTTTACATGAATGCTGATTGCAGATCCTTCATCACGGGGCATCTACCTGAGGGAGGCTAGTGCTTGCCAACAGTCTACTGAGGTGAGATCATTCTTAAATGTGGTGTGCATTAATGATCAGAGAATATTTTTGGGTCAGATCCATGTAAACTATAATTTTAAAATGGATCAAAGTTCGAATTATGGGAAAACAAATAACTGAGGACTGATAGTTGTATCTAATTCTCATACTTGGATAGAATCATAGAATAATGAGAATTTGTTGAATTGACAAAAACCATTAGTTTACCTTGCTAGCTTTCTTCGGTGACAATAAAAAGACAAAAGTAGTGTTTGCTGAAATTTTGTTTTTAGAAAAATTGTTGAGGAGGTATATAATGAAACTCGTAGCTCTATTGCAATTGTTCTTATGCTGGTAACAGGTGCTCATAGTCATAGTTGCTTTGAGTTTTCTATTTACATATATTTTATCAAATGTATGCATATTCTAATCTTTATATCTGTTAACAGTAAATTTTAGTGTAATTCTTTTGTGCTGTCAATTGGTAATTTTCTTTATAATTTGTAGTACTTATTGACAGTGGACGGTGCAAGTTAATCCAAAATTTCATGAAGATGCTGACAAGTTTGAAGAATTGGTTGTGTTTGAGGAGTGTATTGAGTTACATGCTTCAGATAAGACAATTGTGAAAGCACCCGAGTATCTACTGCTCACTCATAATGGTCGTACCTTCAAGTTAGTCAGCTTTCCTTCATTGTTATCCTTTCATTTTTAGTGTAAATGGCCATTTATTTTCAATTTAAGTATTGATGTTAGAGATATATAAATTCATTGATGTAGCCTCGTCCACCAGCTTAAGCTTTTGGGTTGAATTGATTTTTTACATGGTATCAGAGCCTCGGTGTCATGGGTTTGTCCTCACTGCCCCCCATTTAATTAATAATTAATTAAGTCTTGTAGAATTTCTTAGCACAGGTAGGCAAGGCCTGATGCATCATTCACCTTTAAAGTTCAATAGGCTCTCATATGAGAGTGCGTGTTAGAGATATATAAAATCATTAATGTAGTCTCACCCAACAGTTTAAGCTTTTTGGTTGAATTAGTTCTTTACAATTGCTTATGAGCTCATCCCTTTGTGGGGAATATTTGTGAAGCATTCTTTGTTTCATGTTATCTTAATTTTGGTTTTGAACTATTATTAGGTAACATGAACTTTCCGTTTCCAGTAATCAAAATTAGGCATAGTTGTTTTGTGAAAAAAAAAAAAAAACAGAAACAATCTTCATGGCACTTTCAAGGTCATATACATCATCCAGACTTTTCATTATCCTTGGAATTACTTGATAAAGGGTATTCTAATATATTATAGAATTGTAAATCATATGTACAAAAGGGTTCTCTATTTATAGAGAATCCAAGACCTAGAATACTTGACCTAATGGGCTAAGCCCAATACAACAAATAACAAATAAATAAATAATAATAATATTTACAACACTCCCCCTCAAGCTGAGGAATAGATATTTATCATTCCCAGCTTGCTAGTAAGTTCTTGAAATCTGTCTGGAGGAAGCCCCTTTGTCAATAGATCAGCTAATTGACGCCCAGTGGGAATGTATGGAGTGGTAATCAACCCGCTATCAAGTTTCTCTTTGATGAAATGGCGGTCGACCTCAATATGTTTAGTCCGATCATGTTGAACTGAATTATGAGCTATACAAATAGCGGACTTATTATCACATAGCAGTTTCATAGGTCCCTCATATTTTATTTTGAGATCATCAAGTACAATTTTCAGCCACAGTAACTCGCAAATGCCTTGAGCCATAGCTCGAAATTCAGCTTCTGCACTTGATCTGGCAACCACATATTGTTTCTTACTTCTCCATGTCACAAAGTTACCGCAAAGAAACATGCAATAACCAGTGGTAGAACGACGGTCAGTCACGGATCCAGCATAATCAACATCTGTGTAGACTTCTAAAGATAGATTGCCATCATGTCGGAATAACAATCCTTTACCAGGAGTACCTTTAAGATACTGAAGAATTCTCTCTACTGCCTGCATGTGTTTTTCCTTTGGATCGTGCATAAACTGACTGACAACACTAACAGCATAAGCTAGGTCTGGTCTAGTATGGGCCAAATATATCAATTTCCCAACCAGCCGTTGATATTGTCCTTTATCAACTGGAGGACTCTCTTCTGCATAGCCCATCTTGTGATTCTGCTCAATAGGAGTATTAGAGGGTTTACACCCGAGCTTTCCTGCTTCTTTGAGAAGATCAAGAACATATTTCCTCTGGCTGATAAAAATTTCTTTGCTTGAATGAGCTACTTCTATCCCTAGAAAATATCTCAGATTCCCAAGGTCTTTGACTTCAAACTCAGAGGCAAGCCGTGTTTGCAGAATTTTTCTCTCCACAAAATCATCACCTGTGATAATAATATCATCAACATATACAAGGAGCACAGTAAGCTTCCCATTTTGAGAGTGCTTGAAGAAAAGAGTGTGATCTCCTTGACTCTGTCTGTATCCTAAGGTCATCATAACCTTAGTAAACCTTTCAAACCAAGCACGAGGTGACTGCTTCAATCCATACAAGGCCTTTTTTAATCTACAAACTTTATTTTCCCCCTTCACAGAATCAAAACCAGGCGGGATTTCCATGTAGACTTCTTCTTGTAACTCACCATTGACGAAAGCATTTTTCACATCAAATTGATTTATATCCCAATTGTAATGGGCAGCAAGGGATAACAAGATTCTCACCGTATTCATCTTTGCAACTGGAGCAAAGGTTTCTTCATAATCAATGCCATAGGTTTGAGTGTAACCTTTGGCGACTAATCGAGCCTTGTATCTCTCAAGAGTGCCATCAGAATTATATTTCAGGGCATAAACCTATCTGCATCCTACTGCTTTCTTTCTGTTGGGTCTATCAATAACCTCCCATGTTTTATTTTTCTCCAACGCATTCATCTCCTCTTGCATGGCTTGAGCCCAATTCCCATCTTTCAAGGCTTCATGTACTGATTTTGGGATAGAAGTAGAATCTAGTGCTGAAACAAAGCTTTTGTGCTGCACAGAAAGATTAGTAGAGGAAACAAAGTGGGAGATAGGGTATTGAGTACAAGAGGGTCAGGAGGAACAAGATTTCTTGGAACAAGTTCTTTTTCCTTTTCTTAGGGCAATAGGTAAGTCATCAGAAGCAGAAGCAATGGGTAAGTCATTAGAGATATCAGAAGAAATAGACAAATCATGAGAGGCAATAATATTAGAATCAGAAACAGGAGATTCAGAAGAAACAGGAGACTCAGAAGAAACATGAGATTTAGGACTTACCAGTGGTTCAGACGATTGAGGTTGCTGGTGAGACAGTATGGGTTGTTTCCTCCTCTGATATACTAATTCAGGTGTCAAAATTTTCCGTATCTCAGGTGTATTTGAAGGTTCTGACACACCAGGAGCAGACACACTAGGAAGAGAGAAGACTGATCCAGACTCAAAGAAGGAAGGGGACGAGTCTTCTGAAGAACTGTTCTCCCCCTGACGATGAAGACCCAGGAAATAAGATTCAGATTCTTGAAAGGTGACATCCATAGAAACAAAAAATTTCCGACTTGGTGGATGATAACACTTGTACCCTTTTTTATAAGGGGTATAACCAAGGAATACACACTTAAGAGCCCTAGGATCCAACTTACTCCGATGTTGTTTATGAACATGGACAAAGGCAACACATCGAAACACTCTTGGTGGAAGGCTCTGCAATATGGGAACAGAAGGAAAGAAGGAAGTCATGGAATGAATAGGACTGATATTGTTAAGGACCCGTGAAGGTAAACGGTTGATCAAAAAAGTTGCAGCTAACACTGCTTCTCCCCAATAAGAACTAGGAACAGATGTCTGGAAAAGTAGTGCTCTAGCAACTTCAAGGAGGTGACGATTTTTTCTTTCAGCAACCCCGTTTTGTTGAGGGGTATCAACACATGTGAGCTCATGAATCATACCTCTGTCTGAAATGAATTGTGACAGGCGTTGGTTGACGTACTCAGTACCATTATCAGATCTTAGTCTTTTAATACCTTTACCAAACTGAGTCTCAACCATGTGATGAAACCGAATAAATATCTCTGGTACTTCAGACTTGTCTTTCATCAAGTATATCCATGTTACCCGAGTATAATCGTCAATAAAAGAAACAAACTACCTTGCACCTGAAACACTGTGCACTTTAATAGTGCTAGAAGGAAATGACACTCGATGGTGTTTTGCAAATTCACAAACCTCACAATGAAAGGTCTCAACCGACTTATTGAGAAACAGAGAAGGGAACATAGACTTCAAAAGACTAAATGGTGGATGCCCCAGACGCTTGTGATGGAGCCAAATCATAGACTCTGCAGTAGAAGGATGACGTGTCATTAATAACTGATTTTTGCTAGCATGGTCTGGAAGGAGATGATACAACCCATCCTGTTCATTAGCAACTCCAATTGTCTTCTTTGTGGTAAGATCCTGAATAACACAATGAGAAGGAAAAAATGTGATAGAACAATTCAAATCAGTTGTAAGTTTTTGAGTGGAGATAAGATTAGTAGAAAGCTGAGGAACATAAAGAACATTTTTAAGAAACAAGGAAGGTTGAATTTGAATGTTACCAGAACCAATAACTGATTTATGGGATCCATCAGCTACGGATATAGTATGACTACCAACAATAGGATGATAAGAACAAAACAACTCAGTACGACAAGCCATATGATCAGTTGCACCAAAATCCAAAATCCATGAGGTTTTAAAATCAGTGCAAGAAGTAAGAAGAGATATAAAACGTGTGCTCTTACCAGATAAGATCAAAGAACCGTCATTCTCGGCCATTCTTCGATAAAAAGTTAACAACCAGCGATAAAATCAACCAAACAGATTATCAAATGAAGTCCGATCAGTGAAACAATCACAGATCCAGACAGAGAACAAGGAGACGAGAAGAATGGCGGTGGTCCGAGGCCAAAATAAGGTGTCACGCGCCTCCACGCGCCGGTGGAGGTGGCTGCGCGTGGGCTTCATGTGCTGGAGCTTGGGCGGCGCGTGAGAGCGCGTGGGCTGTCCTCTCCGGCTGAAATTTTTGCACGGTGGTCGTTCGGCGAGCGCGCACCTGTCTGTGGGTGGTCGCAGTTGAAAAATCACCGGAAGGTGGTCCAGACGCGATGACAGATCTGTTTGGAGGTGTTTGGGCTGTGTAATCGGTGTTCGCGGCTGTTTGGTGGTGTTTGGGCTATGTAATCGGTGTTGAAGGGTGTAATCGAAGAAAAATAACAGTGAACAGTAGTCCTCTTGGTCCAAAAGGTCCCCGGAAAAAATTTTCCGGTGGCGGCTGATGGCAGCAAGAGACAAAGGGATCAGGTTTTTTTTTTTACTCTAAAGGCAAATAGGTGCGGAAGCAGATTCCTCAGATCGAAAGCTCTGATACCAACTTGAAAAAGGGTATTCTAATATATTATAGAATTGTAAATCATATGTACAAAAGGGTTCTCTATTTATAGAGAATACTAGACCTAGAATACTTGACCTAATGGGCTAAGCCCAATACAACAAATAACAAATAAATAAATAATAATAATATTTACAACAGAATTGTCCTAGTATAATCTCTAATCCCCCACTTCCATCATCTTTATACTTCTTAAATGTAGTTCTTCCATCAACAGTTTATGTTTCTTTGCTTCTTTTTATTTCAACTGAGTTGCTTTTCAATGATGCTAATTTGTAGTTTTGTTTTATTAATGACTTAGAACTTGTCTTCTTCTACTTTCAGCATAGTTGTGGATCCTACCAATTTATGTGACGGTCTGCATTATTATGAGGTCTATGGTATTGACTGCAAAGCACCATGGCGTGGTCCTCTTTTCAGAATTCCAATTACCATAACCAAGCCCATGGCTGTAACTAATAGACCTCCACAAGTTTCATTTTCAAAGATGTTATTCAAGCCAGGTGTGCATTAGTCAATCAAGTTAATCTTTATGCTTCTGTCTGCTGTTGGCATACTAAGGTTGGAGTTTGGGATCTACATATTATGCATTCCAGCCAGCCATGATGTTTTCTTTTACCTTATACTGAAATTGTTTTTGGAAATCTCAAGTGTTTTAAATTTTTTATCGCATTGCATTTGCAATTTGGGTCTAGTTTCTGTCCTTTTGTCCTAAAACCAATGCGTATCTTTTTTTGATTCATTAGGCCATATAGAAAGGAAATATATCGAAGTGCCACATGGTGCATCTTGGGTTGAAGCAACCATGAACACATCAAGTTTTGATACAGCTCGAAGATTTTTTGTGGACACAGTACAGGTACACTGTGCAGCTTGACACTATGTTAGAATAAGTATGGACCTTTTTTTGACATGCTTGCTATGCCCAGATATCTCCATTGCAAAGACCTTTGAAAGGGAGGAATGTGATAACTTTTTCTTCCCCTGCTGCCAAAAGCTTCACTTTTAGGGTAGTAGGTGGTCAGACATTGGAACTAGTCATTGCTCAGTTTTGGTCAAGTGGCATTGGTAGTCATGAGACTACCAGTGTGGATCTTGAGGTAACTGAATTCATTTTTGTTTGATGAACTTATTTTACCCTCCTGGATATTGGGTTATTATTTACTCTTTTTTTCGTTAAATAAAATTAAGCTGAGTCTCTATTTTTTGAATTGGCCAAGCCACATGATGATTGCTCCTCTTTCATTCAGTAGGAGATCTTGAGGATGTATCTCAATTTCTTTATTACATTGGCTTCTTTATTTGATCATGGTTGCCAAGAGCTTATTGTGTGTGTGGCACAAAATTTGGAGGGGATTTTTAGCCTTTTTGGTTTATGGATAGAAGAAGATATATATTAGAAGGAATAGAAAAGAGGATATCCTCCATAAACAAGAGAAGATGCAAAAACTAAAACTAAAACTTCCAAAGACATTATTACAAGGGATACGTTTGCATTTATAACAAGATTCTTGAAGGATACGTTTGCTGAGCAACACCAAAGAGATTCCAAGAAATCAGCATTCCTCTGTACCAAGTTAGTAACCTAATGTTTGTAATCCACATCACTACGTTTCTTGAATCTGTAACATAGCATCAAACTGTTTAGGGTTTGATCGGCATCAACAACTGAAATTTAATCTTGATTGGGATGCAACCCTAATGGTACCTTAGATGGTCAGTTATTTATTAAAGACAATAATAGAGCCAAGGGAAAATAATAAAAGCCTAAATTAATTAACAATGACTCACTCAAAGAGGAGTTAGAGCCCAAAACTCGTCTAAAACAAACAGCTGCTGTAATGAGCTCTGTCGTGAACAGAACTGCAGTGATATGAAAAGTACCAATGGCCCATTAATTCAATTTAATTCTCGAAAGGAGCATAATCTCCCATCATTTAAACATAATGATGCTTTTGGTTTGCATATTTCCCCCTTTTTGTTTTGTCTATACAGTTCAAGTTGATTTCCATTAATTAATGGAGGAAAGCATGCCCTTAAAAAGCATACGGATAAACTTTCTTTGCAATTCATATTTGAACAAAATTGTTTGTGTGCATATCAGCATTTAGATGTGGAAGCACACGTATACAACCATATTTCCATTAATTCTTCTGTGACTGCAATTTTTCTCATAAACAACTTCTAGTAGAAGAAGAATTAAGGAAGTGAGAATATTATGTAGTCTGTCATTTTTCATTGAAGATACAATGTTGCTAATTTATATCAAATTCCAGGTAGTGTTTCATGGTGTAAAAGTCAATCACGAGGAAATTGTACTTGATGGGAGTGAAGCGCCTGTCAGGATTGATGCTGAAGCACTACTAGCTTCTGAAAAACTTGCACCTGTAGCAATTCTAAATAAGGTAGTCCTGTAAAATTTTCTTCCTTCTTTTTGTGCTATTCCATTATGCTTGTGATGTGGCACTGTAACGATGTTAACTATTCTCCTAATTTATGTTAAACTTGCAGATAAGGGTCCCGTATCGACCAATAGATGCTAAGATTAGTGCACTTTCAACTGATCGTGACAAACTCCCCTCTGGAAAGCAGATACTAGCACTGACATTAACGTGAGTAGTTATAAATTCCACTATCCGTTTCATATTCTTGTGCAAATTTTAGATGGCCTGTTTTCATTATTCTGATTTTCAGATACAAGATCAAATTGGAAGATGGAGCTGAAGTAAAGCCTCAAATACCATATCTAAATGAACGGATATATGATAGTGAATTTGAGTCTCAATTTTATATGATTTCTGATTCAAATAAGGTATTTTGATATTTAATTTCCTTTTTGCTTTCAAAGATGACGGGTGGGTAGCTTTAGATACTATTTCTGAGGCTAATTTTTTTTCATATTTATACATTCTGATTGTAGCAAGTATATTCAAGTGGAGATGTCTATCCGAACTCTACAAAACTTCCCAAGGGAGAATACAACTTACAGCTATATTTGAGGTACAACTCTTTCTGAGCATATATACTGGATGACCACACATGCTTGTTTGTTCCTTGTGGTGCTTGCCATTTAGTTATTGATAGTTATTCTGCTTTTATATATTTCACAATAAATTGTGAAAATTCACAGTTAGTTACTGAACACTGGAGGTGTTGTTTTAAGGACTTCAAAGCTTGGTTTAGTTGTTAATATCTGCAATAAGAAAGCTGGAGTTTTAATCGCTAGTGGAATATTTCAAGGTTTTAAATGATTGATCCTTTAAAGGTGCGTTAAACGTGGTCCTATCAACATCAACAACACCTTTATCCCAAATAAAATTGGGGTCGGTGGTAGATGATCCAATCTTTATCCCAAGCGTGGTCCTATACTGATGATAATTTATTGTTTCAGGCATGACAATTTGCAGATTTTGGAAAAGATGAAGCAGCTGGTGTTATTCATTGAGCGAAATTTGGAAGAGAAGGTAGTAGATCATACTCTGAAAGATAACATTATGTTATCCCTTGTATCTTTTGCTTTAAGTACGTCTCATTTGTCATTACATGATTGTAATTTTTTTCAGTGGAGTTCATGAACTTAATTGTAGTTCTCTGACTAGTAGGCTTCTCAATGATCAGTGGTTATGCATTGTGAAACTTTTGGAAATATGTGGTTGGCAAATTGTTTTACAATTGGAAATTCTAAATCTTACGGATAGTATTTGTATTTGAAAATTCTAAACACATTATTAATTAAAAAAATATTTTTTTAAATTTCTCTCGTAAAAAATTTAGAATTTAATTCATAGAATATAACCTTATAGTTCCAAAAATCATGGAAGGAAAATCTAAATTTAAAATATTACAGATAATAGGGGAAAATGTGACTTTTTCTCAATCGTTTTGTATGATATATATATTGGATGCTAAAGATTGTAATTCCATAATGCGTAGTCTAGCAAAGAATCAAGTTACTTCCCAATTTGAAGTATTGTTTTAGGTAGAATTAGAATTGAGCATCTTGTTTGATTAGTTGTTCCGCAACATCAACATCTGTTACAGTTCTGGGTTTGGGGTTGAAGACTTCATTTGGCAAGATTCAATGTAAACAAGAGAAAGTAGGAAATGAAAGAAAGAACAATTCTTTATTGAATAGCTGGAAAGAGTACAAGGACATGTTACAAGAGCAAGCTCTTCTCCAGGGACAATCCCCTTCACACTCAGACTTCTCAGTCAATCTACAATACACCCAAGATGCCTTCCTAATGGAGATAAACTCCTTATATACATACACTTACCCCTGTTTCCCGCCAAACTCCCAACAAACTTACAACCTACTAAGAACCTGTCATCTAAGAATAACCATCCTACTATTACTTGAGCATATTCCTTGGGGAATATACTTTCCTGACAGTAGGCTTCTCCCTCCCTAGATTGCTAAACGTATACTTTATCACAAATTTGTTGTGGTTGGTTTGATTAGTTGTTCCTAAATTGAAAATATTTTTTTTCTAGGAAGTCCTAAATTGTAAACCCCTCCCCCCATCAACTTATACTTCTTGAAATACTTGTAGAGGATATAAATTTTAAATACATCATTAAAACTCAGGTCATATATTCCATTCCTTACATATTTATTTAATTATCATTTATATGTTTTTTTTTTTCCAGGACATAATTCGGCTATGCTTTTTCTCTCAACCAGATGGTCCACTGATGGGAAATGGTTCCTTTAAGTCCTCAACGTTAGTTCCAGGGTATGTGACTGGGTTATAGTCCCTACCTACCCCCTTAAGGTTTAAATGTCATATTTTGTTGTGGTCTGAGGTTTGCTTATTGTTAGTATAAAAGAAGGATTCTATCTTGGCCCACCACCAAAAGACAAGCTTCCCAAGGTATATTTTCTCCTTTCTTAAGCTTTTCAAGTATTTGCATTGAACCATAGGTAGTATGGAATAATCTTTGTGGTATTTCCACAGAACTCTCCCCAAGGATCTGTATTGTTGGGATCAATATCATATGGGAGACTATCATTTGCCGGTCAGGGGGAGCATAAAAATCCAGAAAAGCATCCTGTATCATATCGGGTTTCGTATATAGTTCCCCCAAATAAGGTTATTCTCTACGTATACAGTTACCCGCCTTAAGGTCTTCTTGTGTGCTCTATATTGAACCCACATATATGTGCTGGTTTGAACAAGCACCAAGCTGTGTGGATGTATCTGCTATCATAGAATATATGCTATAAATTAAGGTCTAATTACATTTTCCTATTACCTTCTGATGAAAGATTGATGAGGACAAGGGAAAAAGTTCTTCCTTATCTTCCAAGAAGACAGTTTCTGAACGTTTAGAAGAAGAGGTATGTGAGTCATACTTCAGCAGAATATGCACCCTTTTGCAAGATATTTTTGTCCAACTACGGTTTCACATCTGTTTATGTCCATAACAGTTTAAGATGTGTATATATGTAACAAATTATTGTTAAGAGTATCTTGTGTCCTTGGAAAGGGTCATATTTTGTTTTACCTTTTGATCTCTGCATATCTAAAAGCATTCTCCAACAGTTCTTAGTCGTCACAATATAGATAATTAGATACTACATATTTCAGATAGTATATTTTATGTCCTAATGGTAATTTAAGTTGGCCTTGACTTGTCCATCAGGTTCGAGATGCAAAAATAAAAGTGCTTGGAGGCCTAAAACAAGAAAGCGATGAAGAGCGCTTGGAATGGAAGAAGTTGTCTACCTTGCTCAAAGTCAGTATAGAATTTTATCTGAACTTCTAGTTTTGGTGGCTGGCTGAATTTATCTACTGCATATACATAAAAGTAGGTGGATCCCACTTTTTCTCTTCTTCTTATAGGGCTCCACCCACTCTCATGTGTATGCAAGAGATAAAGTTATCTCCTACTTGTTGGAAAATTAAAAAATTAAAATGATAAATACTAATATAACCTTGGAATAAATTAGAATTACAAAAATATCTTTTTCTCAATCCAAAACAACGTTGTTTTAGCCTTACTGGAGATAAGTTATCTCCAATGACTGGAGATATACTAAACCATATATATATATATATATATATATATTTCATTTAATGTCATTCAAAACTGTACAGTGCTGTTTATTCTTTGCGCATTCTAGATAAAATAACATAATACCAAAATTTGTTATATTTCCTTGCAGTCTGAATATCCAAAGTACACTCCGTTGTTAACAAAGATTTTGGAAGGTTTGGTTTCTAGGAGTAATATCAAAGACAAATTTCATCATGATGAAGAGGTACATTTTGTTGAATCAAATTTTTGATATTATTTGCCCTTCTCCCTCTCTTATTTTCCTCCCAAACCATAATATTTTTATTAGTATACTTTTTTGAAAACTAAAATGAAATTTCTTACATTTTATGTATAATCTCTTGGAATACAAGAAGAGTATAAACTAATATCTAATGAATGTTAAATTTTGGGAGCTTGATCTACATGGTGTGAACTTTTGATCTAACTCTGGATTTCATGAAAAGTGTATCCTATGAGAGTTATCCACTGGTGTATCTATGATGTAACTCTTACACTACCATCAATGGATCTTGAAATGCTTACACGCACACACAGAAGGTGGGGCTCTAGTGACTCTAGGATTTTAAGTCTTGTACAGTTACTTGGTCAAATATTTTTTTTTTGCAGAATCCAAAATTTACCAATTGACTCATTAGTCTCTAATCTAATATTTGACATTTATTTTTTGAAAGCATATTATACGTTAGTGGAAAATCTTAACAATCTTATTATCATGCATACAAAATAAATTACCAAAGTAATTCTTAAATTCTATGAAATTTGAGTCTGATCTAATGTCTGTACGATGGATGAAATTTGGTGTTGATAAAAAGTTGTTCAATGTGAATCAATATAAAATGGCTAATCCTCTGGCAATTATGATTACGCTTTGTAACTTGTAAGTAATTGACGCAGCAAATGAGGTGATTGATATTATTGATAGATAAGAGTTAGCAAAATTTCGAAAGTATATGATAAGATAAAATAAAGTGGAAAATTTTAGCAAACCTACCAATAAAATCATGTGAAATTATCATAATGATCGTGCATACAAAATAAAGTACCAATTAATATTTAGATTCCATGAAACATATAAGTCTGATTCTAATGATAAATTTCAATATAATGGTAAGATTGATGAAATTCAGTGTTGATGATAAGTTGTTCAATTTAGTAATCGTATAAAAAAGCTGTCTTTGTGACAATTATGAATACGCTTTGCAGGTAATTGATGCAGCAAATGAGGTGATTGACAGTATTGATAGAGAAGAGTTGGCAAAAAAATTTGCGCTAAAAAATGATCCAGAAGATGAGGAAGCGGAGGTTGTTATCCCTGTTACCAATTGCTTTTAGTTACCCCTGTCTCCCACTTCTGAATTAGTTTCAACTGTTGATGCAAAATTTAAAAAATAAATAAAATTGACATGGCATGTGAATTGTGAATGATATTAGTTCAGAACAGTTTGCAATCTTATAGTTAACTATGTTGGTACTTGACTATTTATAATTATAGAAGGTGGTTCTGTAACAGTTTGGCTGAAAATGGAAACCTCTTTATGCGCTGAGAGTGTATATAATGTTAAATCAATTGTTTTTTTTTTTTGATATAAATGGAGAGCCTAGCCCAGAAAGAACTACAACTGTAACTGATGCATGCTAAAATTCACATGCTCCATCAGCAAATTCAAACTAAAAGAGTTCCAAGCCAAATCTAAACTAACAGGGGAGACTCAAACAACCTTAACTCTTCACCCTTGTAGTTTAACCCTATCTTAGCAAGAGAGTCTGCTAAAACATTACATTCTCTAGGGACATAATCCACACAAAAATGTTTAAATTCCTTGGCTAACTTCCTGATCCTGTCTATTAGAGCTGCGTGACTACAGCCTGCATCCTCATCTTCTAGGCAAGCAATGGCTTCCTTGCTTTCACTACCCACCCAAGCATGGTCCAGATTTAGTTGCGCAGCTAAATTGAGACCCTGCAGAATAGCACAAAGCTCAGCTTCCAAGGGAGATACAGATCCTATACCGTAGGCAAAACCCTTTAGCCAGTTACCACTTGATAAGCAAACAAATCCACCACATGCACCTCTTTTGGTAGCTAAATTAACAGCCCCATCAACATATATTCTAACATCTGGATTCAGCAGCACAGGACCAGGCCTGCAGTTATCATTAGAAACTTTAGGATCAAAATTAAAAGGCTCCTTATTTCTACTTCTCTTCATTTCTTTCAAATAGCCTACGATTCTAAGAACTGGATCCTGCGGTCTAGAAAAAGACTCCTCATGGATAGTTGCATTCCTCCACTGCCATATAAACCAGCAAGTTACCACAAAAATTTCATTCCAAGAATGCCAGAGATGAGATGAAAATGGCTTAGCCAAGTTAACTCTAAACCACTCCAGGTCCTCAACACAAAGAAAGTTGTTAGGAAGTTTACCAGCAAACCAGATCTCCCATATGCTCCTAGCAAACTTACAATCCCTCAGCAAATGCATCAAAGTCTCACTGCCCTGAACACAGCTGGGACATAGCACTTCCCTTCCACTCCAGAGACTAATAATGCTCCTAACTGGCAGCTTATTGAGGCAAGCTAGCCATAAGAAGACAGCTAACCTATAAGGACCTCTCCATTTCCAAACAAAAGACCAAATTTTATCCATCTCCATCTTAGGCTCTAACAGTAAACAATATGCATTCCTTACCACTGATTTTCCTGAAATTAATTTCTTCCAGCAGAGCCAGTCATCAGAGCAATAGGAATTCGGGGCATAAATCTTGCTCAGCCTATTGCAAGTGAAGGAATCCAGAAACCTATTCAAGTAATTCCAATCCCAATCCTTTGAACAACTGTCTACCACATCACTAACCTTAAGGATCATATCAGTAATAGGAGGTTTTACTGATGCTATTTCCAGCATAGTGCTATGCCACCCTCCCCACAAATCAGTCCAAAAAAATACAGACTTACCATTCCCAATGTTCCATTCTAAATTCTGGTCAATCTTGCTTCTGGCTTCTACAATATGCTTCCACAAACCCGAGTCGCCATTCTTAGAGATTAAACTGCGATTAGGATCAAGTTTTCTACCATACTTCCCCAGCAAAACTTGAACCCAAAGACTGTTTTTATCCTCTACAATTTTCCAGGCCAGCTTGTGCATAAAAGCCTCATTTTGAAGCCTAAGGTTGATAATTCCCATACCACCACACTCCTTTGGTTGACACATCTTCTCCCAAGCTACATAATGGGCTTTTCTCTTGGCTTCCACATCACCCCATATAAAGTTCCTTTGCAGTGTTTCAATCTCTTTACAAACATGTGCTGGAATAAAATTGTTCTGCATATGGTAACAAGGAATGGCTGAGATGACACTTCTAGCCAAGGTGATTCTTCCTGCCATAGAAAGGCACTTGGACTTCCAGCCTTGCAGCCTTGATTGAACCCTGGATATGACCTCCGAGTAGTGTCCCCTTCCTATTCTGCCATGCCTAAGCAATGCTCCTAGGTATCTGCCAAGATTTTTGACAGTTTTGAAACCACTTACATCAGCAATAGACTGCACGGTTTCCAGATTAGTATTTCTAGAGAAGTAGATGCAAGACTTTTCAAAACTCACACATTGACCTGACATTTTTGAAAACTTGTCTAGGCAATTGATGATACAGCTGAGTTGGCTTAAGGAAGCTTCTGCAAACAAGATTATATCATCAGCAAACATGACATGAGAAATTTGAGGTCCAGCTCTAATAGGATTCCAAGCTTTACCATCCACTTCATCCATAATCAAGTGAGTCAGCTTCTCCATACAAAGAACAAAAATATAGGGTGATAGAGAGTTCCCTTGTCTAATTCCCCTTTAAATCAATTGTTGTTTGCTAAGTTTATTATGGAAGTTCCTTCCATGTGGAAAAATGAATTTTGGTCTACTACACTACTACTTAAACGATGGATTTTCAGTTTGCTATTTGTTGGCAATTAATGATATTATAATCTCACTGTAGAAAATCAAGAAAAAGATGGAATCAACACGTGATCAGTTAGCAGAGGCACTTTACCAAAAGGGGCTTGCACTGGCAGAAATAGAGTCTTTAAAGGTTAGAGCTTGTGTTCTTTAAATCAATGATTGTACATTACCAACAATTTTAAACTAGTGATGTTTAAATGAGTGTTTGATTTTGTAAAATATAGCTTATTAGTAACTCCAAAATTAGGAAATATCCTTGTATGCTCAGCTGAGGTCAATTTTTTTTCCTTTCTTGAGCTCTAACCATGGATATCATGTTGCATCGTAAATGCTACTCTTCTTTCGAGTTTAGAATTACATTAGATCATGTAAAATAAAACTACAATTTTCATGATTTTGCCTGCTTGTGCTGTGTAGAATTTAGATAAGTTTATTTAGTTGTCACGTTACGGTGTTAGGAAAAGTCAAAGCTTTTCATTATGATAGTGGTAACATATAATTATTATTTATGAAATAAAAGTTGGTAAACTTATCTTGTATATTGTCAAAGGAGGTAGATAAGTACACGGCTTCAGCTGCAACAGAAGGTGCAAAACAAGATGTGGAGAAAACTGACGAGCAATCCAAGGATGTTGGCATTCGTCCAGACTTATTTGAAGAGAACTTTAATGAACTGAAGAAATGGGTTGATGTTAAGTGCACAAAATATGGAATCCTCTTGGTGACAAACGAGAGGCGAAGTCAAAGGCTTGGGACAGCATTGAAGGTATTTTCTTTTGCAAAGTCTTGTATTGGTTGCTGCCATGGATTACTCTTGCTAACACTAGTTGCGTCTCAAACTCAAACATATACTATAGTCATACTTTACTAGTCCTAACTCAGATATTCTTTCAAGTTCCCAATGCCCCTTTCCCACCCCAAACCGGATTATAACTGTTGCTCAATGGGCAAGGGTACGAAATTGAAAAAGTAATATATATAAGTGAGAAAGAGAATCGTTGTCAGGGATTGTGGATGCCAAGTACCAATTCACTATAGTTAATATTATTTAAACTATGATATCGGGATTAAAGGGAGCACTGAAAAACAATTAACAACAGAGTAAATGAGATTGAAAGGGAAATTGTAAAGAACCAATCAATCCAAAAGTTTAAACGGTCAGGTGAATGTGCATTAATGATTTCTATATTATATTTCTCTAACGTACTCCCTCAAATATGTGAGTCTATTTGGTTTAAAGTATGGACAATATATAGGGCCCTCCTAGCTATACTAAGAATGTAGAAAATCAGAATTCAAACATGTTTCCGTTTTTATTTCCTATTAATTAGGAGTGATTATGATTGATTAGGATTGATTGTGATTGATTAGAATTGATTGTGATTAGGATTGATTAGTCATCGCTTAGTCATTCTTAGCGATTCTTTCTTGTATAAATACTCACTCATGTAAATTATTCAATATCAATATACAGAAACTTCTTTTCAATATGGTATCAAGAGCGGGTTCGTTCCTACCCTAATTCAAATCTGAAATAACCATCCAAACACTTCCATCACCGTCAAACACCTCCTAAACACCTCCTTGAATCTGTCCAACACAGAAACCTAGTTTACTGACCTCCGATCAAGAAAGTGAGGTGACCATTCGACTCAGAAGGATCCGACGAGTTGACCGTCGCTGGACCCACCGCCGCACGCGCCGCCACACGCGCGGCCAGTCTCCGGCGCGTGAGCTCCACGCGCCGCCTTCCCGACGTCTTTTTCCACCGCGACTTGCACAGACCTTCTCGTCGGCTTCTCCCATTCCTGATCCAGAGGTCAGATAAAAAATTTACAAAACTTGATTTTTCATCAACAGTTAACCCTTCTCTTTCTATTCATGGCTTCCTCAAAACACTCTTCCGCCTCCTCATCTGTCCCAAATTCTCAGTCCTCTGGAGACACTTAGGTTTGCAGATCACCAATCACCGGTTGAACGGTAAGAATTTTCTGCAATTGTTTCAATCAGTTAAGTTGGTCATCCGGGCAAAGGGTAAGATGGGTTATCTTGACGGAAAAATTAAGAAACCTACTGAGAATTCTCCTGATTATGACGATTGGGAGATTAATAATTCCTTGGTCATGGCTTGGCTGACTAATTCTATGGAACCACAGATTGGCCAAACCTATCTGTTCTTTGATATTGCCAAGGAAATTTGGGATGCTGTTCAACAGAATTACTCCGATCTGGAGAATACCTCTCAAGTTTTTGAACTGAGAAATAAGTTGAGAGACTTTCGTCAAAGGGGTATGACTGGTTACTGAATATTTTACTGCACTAACGAATTTATGGCAGGAATTGGACCTTTATTATGCATCTGATCTTAAGAGATTGGAAGCTAATACCCAATTTAAAAAAACACTTGGAGAAGGAAAGACTGTATGATTTCCTTGCCGGACTCAACCGAGATCTTGATGAGGTTCGTGGTCGAATAGTGGGGCAGCGACCATTAGCTTCACTTGCTGACGCCTTTGCTGAAGTTCGTCGAGAAGCCAGTAGACGGAAAGTTATGCTGGGAGAAAAAGAGTCGCTTGATAAGTTTGATGATATGTCTGCATTAGCTGCCAACCGTACCATTGACCGTTCCTCCGGAGAATCAAAACGGGATGGTCGTCCATGGTGCACCCACTGCAATAAAATTGGTCATACCCGTGAGAAATGTTGGGAAATCCACGGGAAACCTGCAAATTGGAAGCCCAAAGGAAAAAATAAAGGTCGTGCATATCAGGTCTCTACTGATGACAAGGTTGATGAGCCTCATGCATCCTCTGACTCTGATGGTGTCTTTCTTAGCAAGACTTAGTTTGAACAACTTAAGAGACTTTTGACTCAACCTCCTAAGGCCACTAGTCATGTGGTCCAGCAAGGTACAACTTTCCATGTTGATAGTCAAAATCATTGGATCCTTGATTCTGGAGCCTCTGATCATGACAGGTAATCTTGGCTTGTTTTGTTCATACACTCCATATTCTGAACCTTCTCGGGTCAAGATCGCCGATGACAGTTTTTCCCAGATTGCGGGACACGGAACCATTAAACTTTCTGAGCTGATTACTTTGACATCAGTCCTTTATGTTCCTTCTCTGACTTGTAATCTCATTTCCATTAGCAAGCTCACCTCTGAGTTGCATTACTTTGCTAAATTCTTTCCACATGGTTGTGTTTTTCAGGAACAGGACTCGGAGAGGATGATTGGCAATGCTAGAGAGGATGGTGGACTTTACTACTTTGAGGAGGATGTGACTCATGAAGTTGTTTTCGTAGAAAAAAACTCTATGTTTCCTTTTGATTCATGTAATGATGTTATGCTGTGGCATCGTAGGCTAGGCCATCCAAATTTTATTTATCTTCAGAAGTTGTTGCCAAACTTATTTATTAATAAAAGTCCAAGTTTGTTTTCTTGTGATATTTGTCAACTTGTCAAGCATACTCGTGCTCATTATCCTTCTAAAGTTCACCATTACTCTTCCCCATTTTCCTTAATTCATAGTGACATATGGGGTCCAGCCCGTGTTAAAAATATTTCAGGTACTCGATGGTTCATTACCTTCATTGATGACCATTCTCGAGTCTGTTGGGTGTATCTTCTTGTAAAGAACCAATTCAACCCAAAAGCTTAAGCTGTTGGGTGAGGCTACATTAATGGTTTTATATATCTCAACACGCCCCCTCACACGAGAACCCACTGGGCTTGAAGGGTGGACAATGCACAGGCCCACCTACCTGTGCGAACAAAGAAATTCCACTTGAAAGAAAGTGGGGGGCGGCGAGGATCGAACCGGGTACACCGAGGCTCTGATACCATGTAAAGAACCTTGAGGTCACCACCCCAAAAGCTAGCTCAAAGGGTGGGAGTGCCCAAGGTCTTATAAATTTCACATTAGTTGCACATACAACCAATGTGGGACTATATATCTCAACATGCCCCCTCAAGTGCAAGTGGATCTGACACCATGTCTCAACCCAAAACCTTAAGGCATTGGGTTCATGGGTCCTTTCACTTGTATACTCTTCACTTAGCTCATTACCAACCAATGTGGGACTCATCACACTTGAATATCCCAACAATCTCCCCCTCAAGTGTGAAACCCACCATTGGTATGCTCCCCCTCAACCGAGTACCGCAAGCGCAAAGTACTCGACTCGCCTCCTAGCCAATAAAGGATAAGTCCGATGCTGCATCCGTGTTTAAAAAATTTCATGCCATGGTTCAAACCCAATTCCAAGTTGCTATACAAATTCTTCGTACAGATAATGGCAAAGAGTATTTTAACTCTATTCTTGGAGAATATCTTTCCCAACATGGCATCCTTCACCAAAGCTCGTGTCTTGAGACACCCCAACAAAACGGAGTTGCGAAAAGAAAAAACCGACATCTCCTTGAAGTTGCTCGGGCTCTTATGTTTACCACGAGTGTTCCTAAATATCTTTGGGGAGAGGCAGTTCTCACTGCCTCGTATCTGATAAATCGAATGCCATCTCGCATTCTGAAATTTCAGTCTCCTCTTTCTAGTCTTGTTCGTATCTTCCCTTCCTTCCGAGGGGTCTCCTCCTTACCTCTCAAGTTATTTGGTTGCGTTGTATTTGTCCATATTCCCTCCCATCAACGGTCTAAGCTTGATCCTAAGTCTCTCCAATGTGTCTTTATTGGTTATTCTCCTACTCAACGTGGCTATAAGTGTTATTCACCCTCTCTTCGTAAGGTCTTTGTCTCTATGGATGTCACTTTTTCTGAGAATGACCCTTTCTTCCCCTCGACTTCTCTTCAGGGGGAGTCTATAGGAGTAGATGAAGATCAGTCATGGAAACCTACTGATGCCACGGTATTACCTCTACTTTTGGAAACAAGGGGAGCTACAGAATCCTCACCATCAGGAGCCTCCTCAAAATGAGGACAAGTTTATAGCAGGCGAAAGCCTCCTCAAAGTGTGAATAACCCAGAGCCTCTACACTGCCAGGATTCTAAACCATGTTCTAGTTCCAGCACCCCAATACTTGAGTGTCATGGTGAAAATGATCTACACTTGCCCATTGCTCTCAGAAAAGGTACTCGATCTTGTACTACTCATCCTATTTCTAATCATATTTCATATGGAAAGTTGTCCCCAGGGTTTCGTGCTTTCAATACTATGTTGGATAGTACAAAGATACCGAGAAATATACATGAGGCTCTCAATGATAAAAAATGGAGGGATGCTGTCTTTGAAGAAATGAATGCTTTAGAAAGAAATGGAACTTGGGAGATAGTGACCCTACCCAAAGGAAAAAAGGCAGTAGGATGCAAATGGGTGTTTACAATAAAATTCAATGCAGATAATAGCATCAACAGATACAAGGCAAGATTGGTTGCAAAGGGTTTCACTCAGACTCACGGGATAGATTATCATGAGACTTTTGCTCCGGTTGCTAAAGTCAATACCATCCGAGTTCTCTTATCTCTTGCTGCCAATCTAGATTGGCCTCTGCAACAGTTAGATGTGAAGAATGCATTCCTAAATGGTGACTTACATGAAGAAGTCTATATGGATCCTCCACCTGGTTTTGAAAAGGGAAATGGATCAGTGTGTAAACTAAAAAAGTCTCTATATGGATTGAAACAGTCTCCCAGAGAATGGTTCGACAAATTCACACAAGCAGTCAAAAGAAGAGGCTTCATTCAAGCACAGACTGATCATACTCTCTTCCACAAACACTCTAAGGATGGTAAAATTGCTATTCTTATTGTATATGTAGATGATATAATTCTTACAGGTGATGATATTGAGGAATTGAACACCTTGAAGAAATTTCTAGCAGCTCAATTTGAACTCAAAGACCTTGGCACTCTCAAATATTTCCTTGGTATGGAAGTTGCTAGGAGCAAAACAGGCATCACTCTAACACAAAAGAAATATGTTCTAGATCTTTTGTTGGAAACAGGAATGTTAGGGTGTAAACCTGCTGAGACACCTGTGGAACCTAATACCAAGTTAGGTATTGAAGATGGGAATGAGGTGGATAAAGAACAATATCAGCGATTGGTTGGTAAACTAATCTACTTATCTCATACGCGTCCTGACATTGCCTTTGCGGTGAGTATGATTAGTCAATTCATGCACTCACCCAAGGAGAAGCATCTTAGTGCAGTCTATAGGGTGCTTAGATACCTCAAGAATACTCCAGGAAGAGGATTATTCTTTAAAAAGGGGTATAAAAGGACAATTGAAATCTACACTGATGCAGATTGGGCAGGCTCATCAGTAGACAGGAGATCTACCTCAGGCTATTGCACCTATGTGTGGGGAAATCTTGTTACTTGGAGAAGCAAAAAGCAAACAGTGGTTGCAAGAAGTAGTGCTGAAGCAGAATTTCGAGCTTTAGCTCATGGAGTTTGTGAAGGAATCTGGTTGAGAAGACTTCTTCAAGAGTTGAAGATTTCATATTCCCTACCAATAAAACTATATTGTGACAACAAGGCAGCTGTTAGCATTGCTCAAAATCCTGTGCATCATGATCGAACAAAGCACGTGGAAGTTGATCGTCACTTCATCAAAGAAAAATTAGATGATGGAAGTGTGCGTTTGATATATGTTCCAACCAAAGAGCAAACGGCAGATGTCCTTACCAAGGGCCTACACCGTCCAGCATTCGAAGACTTGATTGGCAAGTTGGGAATGATCAATATTTACCTCCCAACTTGAGGGGGAGTGTAGAAAATTAGAATTCAAACATGTTTCCGTTTTTATTTCCTATTAATTAGGATTGATTAGGATTGATTATGATTGATTATGATTGATTAGAATTAATTGTGATTGATTAGAATTAATTGTGATTAGGATTGTGATAGGATTGATTAGTCATCGCTTAGTCATTCTTAGCGATTCTTTCTTGTATAAATACTCACTCGTGTAATTTATTCAATATGAAATATACAAAAACTTCTTTTCAATAGAAGAAGACATGCAACACAAATATACCTTAGTCTCAATTAAAAAAACTAACATAGCAAAATCCACATGAAATCTCAAAAATAGGAGCTTCCATGACCTACTGTGCAATATATTATATATATAATAATAGAAGCACAAAAGCATGTCAAGTGAAGCCACAAAAAATTAAAACCCTAAACAAGTAGGAGCATTTTGAATGTAGGAAAGTGAAACATTACGTACCTGAAGATGAGAAGTATTTGACATCAATCCACTGCTAAAAAATGTTGAAAGTTGTCAGAAAACATCATAGTCATGATCGGAAAAAAATTTATCCATTTAAATTCTAACCTTTGACTTAAAAGAACTATCACAAAGACAAACTCCAGTAAGCCTAGAGCAAGATGCAGGCCTGATAAACATCATCATTAGTTTACTGCCAAGATAGCAATGTAGAAGAGGGGGAAGAAAAAAGATGAACTAAAGAAAATGATGTGACATTCACGTGAAGTGTCCAATGAAGAGAATGCCAATCCTGCTACCAGTCCATAAAATTGACAAGCTGGAGAGAATGTCTGGTCAACAAAGTAGTTACAAGCTAACCAAATGGATCTGAAATGGATTGGACCGCTTGATGCTGAAGCTTGAGAAGTTTAGTTGATTATTCTATATTGGCTTGATTTCACATATATTTCGGAGGCTCAAGCCAGGCAAATTGGCTTTAAAGAGAAAGATACTAGTCATATGATTCACAATAGTGATTGGGTGGTCAAAAGGGGAGACAAATTCAACCCTAATAGTCATAATAAGATATTACCGAAATTCCCAATCTTTTTGTTTCATAATAAGATATTACTGAAATTCCCAATCTTTTTGTTTGAACTAAAAGTACCTATTTTCAAAACTAATCCCATAAATCAGAATTGAAGTAAGATTAACAAAAAAAAAAAAACTAAATTTGCAGTTAATGAAAAAAAAATGCAGGTAAAAGGATGCAAACCTTAGATTTCCAACACTATCCACAGAAAAATTCCTTGAATTAGAAGTTCTGCGCAAAGAAGATAACACAAAATGATACATTAGAACCTTAGAATCAGCGAAGAAAAAGGTACCAAAGCAGCATTATGAAAAGAAAGAGATTCTTTGAACGTTAAAAGCCTATAATTCATTCAAAAGTACAGAGATCAATTCAGAAATGACATGTTGTAAGTAAAGGATGCCACCAAAAGATACTATAACTATGTATGACATCTGTATAGACGGATCAAATAAAAAAATAAAAAAAGTAAACAAGACAGGCAGAATGCCAACACTAAATAATTCTTAGCACCATTCCAGTGTAGCGTTCAATTCACCTAAACCTAATGGAAAATAAACCATTCTATGATACAATTCTAAGAGATCACATAAGATACTCTAAACTACTCTATGATACAATCAAGAAATTTTTATATATATATATTTTATACAAGACAATAATACTACTATCAAATTGACAGTGCAATATACCAAATACTAAAATGCAATCACAAAAACTGTTCCTCTAGTTAGTTGTCTTTCCACAAAGAGATATGCAGAATTGCCAGAGCAGTCCGAGCCCTACTATGAAATTGAAAACAAAGCAAGGGAAAATCACAGAGAGAAATCTCTCAAGTTGACAAGTACAAGAGAAATGATCAAAAAGAGAGTACCGTGAAATGGATCTGGTGGAGGAAGAGAGGAAGCGAAGGGAACGAGAGATGAGAGGGTGACGAAGGCGCGAGAGTACCATTGCAGCAGAGAATAGAATGAATCAGCGTCTCGATTTGGTTGGTTGAAATGGCGATGGCACTTGTTAGTTGGAAATTACTACTTTACTTGTTTTCAATATAGGCGTGCAGCGTGCTCATCAACTATGATTGTTCGATTCGAGTAGGTATGCCGTATATCAAACATTTCTTATATAATTAATTATTTAATTTCACTTTTATTGTGACATTATATTTTACATTTTAACTCTAAATAAACACGCCCTATAACTCAATACCTCTGTACTTTCTTTTAATTTGTCAATATTTTAATTTTAAAAAATATTTAAAATTATCGATTAATTCCTGACTCAACAAACTTTTCCTTTTTATTGACCGCTTTTATTTATACATATACGCAAACAGAGCTTTATTATTATATTTTAATAGTAATTTTATTATACCATTCAGCTAAAATCAATCACTTAAAATAATTTTTAAAATATCATTATCACATTCAAATTAATTCATTTAATATTAATTTCTTAAAATCAATACTTTTAAAATAAACTCAATTAAAATCTAAACTAAACAACATTTTAAGAAAATGAAAAATCTTAATTACAAAAATAACATTAGAGAAATAAGAGTGGTATTTAATACTTTTATTATTAATTTTATACTTTTTTATCACCGGAACTATACTTTTCTTTATAATGGTTATGACAAAAGATTAACCTACCAAACCTGGAAGCCACCGTGCGCATGGAACAATATTGAAAAATCAGAAACTGCATGATTTATCGGAAATGCGATGGTGACAACACCCAAAGCAAATATTTATTTTACATATAAATATAAAATATTTTTACAGTATTATTTTAAAATGAAAATTGCTAAATTAAAATATAATTGGATAATATCAAATTTTAACCGTTGATATTCATCAATCCGACGGTTATAATTTATTGGATAACACTTATTAATTAATTATTAATTTTCAATAAATTGTAACTATCAGATTAACAGGAATCAACGATTAAGATTTGGTGGTAAGAAATTATAAACTTAATTTGTGGTAAGTATATCCTAACCCTATATTAAATTGAATACAATATATTCAAAAGCATTTTATCTACATTAATTTGTGCAAATACAAGGCATAATAATTTATTATTTATTATTTTTTGTTTTTATATATTAGGCATATTTTTAAGTTTGAGCATTGCTTGAACTAAATTGGGGTTTGTTGAAGATTGAATATTCAGAAATTTGGGTCAAGCTTAAGATTGTTGATATTATAACCCAAGTTTTGGGTTTTAGAAGCCCATTACTTTTGCCTCTTTTAGGTTGTCTTTAACTTTTTATTTTTATCTCGTGTGAAACTTACGAAGAAAATATGAGAGAGAGAGAGAGAGAGGGGATTAGCTTGGAGTCGTTGAAAATCAACCTTGGTTAAAATAAAATTTTCTCTAAAATGAATAAAGAAAAATATATATTTACCTTTCATGCATCATAATTACAACTTACAAAAATTTAAGATTAAATATATTTCTACTTGTTCACTAATTATAAAGGGAATAATATTTCCGTGTTTAAACCAAAGCATTTCTATCTCCCACGGAGAAAAAATTCAAGTGAGCCATCATTCTTATTTTTCTCTTTCATTAATTTCTACTCTCTCTCTCTCTTGAAATTTCTCTCTGTGGTAAATAGGAATTCTCTGCCTTAAAGGCAGAGATGTTATTCCCAATTATAAGTTCATTTTAAAGTAATTTAATCTCCTGGTTAAGTTATCTCCAAATAAAATGAACACTTCGAAAAGTTAACACTTGATTACAGTCCCAATGCCTTAATATGCTGAACATGAAACTGAAAGTAAGCAAATCAAGAATCTAGCTAAGGCTATCTCCTTTCAAAAGTTTCGTAAATGATTGTTATGAAAGTAAATTTTTATTCTTGGGAGTAAGATTTTCAGAGATGCTTAGGGGGGGGGAATCTTCCTCTGTTTAAAAACTATAAAAACTCTTTTTTTATAAGTGTTTCTCTTTAAAATATGTAAATAAGATGCATCTATCTTTCATTTAATTTAGAAAATGAATCATGATCATAATTTACTAAAATTTAAATGTTAATATACCCTTACTCACTTAAAAAAAAAATCACATTAGAACAACTTCTTCTTTTTTTTCACTTTTTATACCAAATCCTTACATTTATTTTTTCATTTTCGGGAAATAACGAAGTAGATGAGAACGAGAAAATGTAATTCTCTTTTTCTCTTTTCCTAGAAAAAGATGTAAGAATTTGAGTAAAAAAGGGAAAACCTATATCCTATATCTCACCTAAAGCCCATCTTGTTAAACAACGGGCTAGTGGGCTACCTATCATGTTTTTCAAATGAAACGATGGACTTGCTTAAAGTGTCCAATGACCTCTCTGATATTTTGGGCCTGTGTTTTTTTCCACATGAAAGATTGTGGAAGGATACCAATTGTTTTTCAAATAAAATTCATCTTAATTTGTACCCCCCCAATAAAAAAAATAATCTTAATGTTTTTACTCGCGCCGATACCAAACCAACCGTTATATTTTATTTTTTTTCCAACAACATAAATTGAGTAGGCGAAAAATTCCGATAACACCAAGACAAACAAAATCATGGTTCGTGCAGGGTCCTTATTTTGATATTAAAAGTGCAAAAGCATAAGTCGACCAAATCATGCATGACTTGCAATAATCATGTTCTCCGAGATGCTGCTGGTCTCCTCCGGTAGCACAGTTTTTAAATAAATGATTTGAAGCCTTGAACAATGGTGGAAATTATAAAGCACGCTGATTAGTCACACTAAAACTCAATGTCTTTTTTTTTTTTAATATCAATTTTAAAGTCCCAACGGATTCTCTAATGTGATTTAAGGTTTGAGTTTTTCCATCCTCACCAAAAATTACAATTCTCAATAATCTAATTTATTATCTTTTAGACATATCAAACCCTAAGATCTTATTTGTCTCCATTATATACTGTTGTAAATAATATTGATTTAGTTTTTATTTAGTTTTTATTTAGTCATTTATTGTTGTATTGGGCCAAGCCCTTTGTTGTATTGGGCCAAGCCCATTAGGTTAAAAGTAGGTCAAATATTCTCTATAAATAGAGAACTCTTTGTACAGATTATTTACAATTCTATAATATATTAGAATACCCTTTTTCAAGTTGGTATCAGAGCTCTCGATCTGAGGGCTTTGCTTCCGCACATATTATCTTCTTTTTTAACAAAACCCTAATTTCTTTGCCTCTTGCCGCCATCAGCCGCCACCGGAAATTTTTTCAGGGGACCTTTTGGACCAAGGGAACCATTGTTGACCTTATTTTTCCTCTGATCTATCATTCTACGCACTGTTCCTCCGCCACAAACGACCGAAACACCTTCGACCGCCTCCAATCAGATCTGTCTTCACCGTTTGGACCACTTTCTGGCGACTTTTCAACCGAGACCACCCACAGACAGGTGCGCGCTCACCGGACGACCACACCAGAAAAATCTCAGCCGGCGAAGCCCCTCCACGCGCTTTCACGCGCCGCCCCTTTCCCGGAGAGTGAATCCCACGCGCAGCTCCTTTCTCCGGCGCATGGAGGCGCGTGCGGCCGTGTTTTTGGACCAGACCACCACCATTCTTCTCGTCTTCTTGTCTTCTGTCTGGATCTGTAATTATTTTTCTGATCAGAGGTCATTTGATATTCTGTTTGGTTGATTTTATCGCTGGTTGTTAACTTTTTTTGTTAAAGAATGGCCGAGCATGATAGTTCTTCGATCTTATTTGGTAAGAGCACACGTTCTATATCTCTTCTTGCTTCTTACACTGATTTTAAAACCTCATGGATTTTGAATTCTGGTGCAACTGATCATATGGCTTGTCGTACTTAGTTGTTTTGTTCTTATCATCCTACTGTTGGTAGTCATACTATATCCGTAGCTGATGGATCCCATAAATCAGTTATTGGTTCTGGTAACATTCAAATCCAACCTTCCTTGTTTCTTAAAAATGTTCTTTATGTTCCTCAGTTTTCTACTAATCTTATCTCCACTCAAAAACTTACAACTGATTTGAATTGTTCTATCACATTTTTTTCCTTCTCATTGTCTTATTCAGGATCTTACCACGAAGAAGACAATTGGAGTTCCTAATGAACAGGATGGGTAGTATCATCTCCTTCCAGACCATGCTAGCAAAAATCAGTTATTAATGACACGTCATCCTTCTACTGCAGAGTCTATGATTTGGCTCCATCACAAGCGTCTGGGGCATCCACGATTTAGTCTTTTGAAGTCTATGTTCCCCTCTCTATTTCTCAATAAGTCGGTTGAGACCTTTCATTGTGATGTTTGTGAATTTGCAAAACACCATCGAGTGTCATTTCCTTCTAGCACTATTATCCATTCTGATGTTTGGGGCCCTTCTAAAGTGCACAGTGTTTCAGGTGCAAGGTTGTTTGTTTCTTTTATTGACGGTTGTACTCGGATAACATGGATATACTTGATGAAAGACAAGTCTGAAGTACCAGAGATATTTATTCGGTTTCATCACATGGTTGAGACTCAGTTTGGTAAGGGTATTAAAAGACTCAGATCTGATAATGGTACTGAGTACGTCAATCAACGCCTGTCACAATTCATTTCAGACAGAGGTATGATTCATGAGCTCACATGTGTTGATACCCCTCAACAAAACGGGGTTGCTGAAAGGAAAAATCGTCACCTTCTTGAAGTTGCTAGAGCACTACTTTTTCAGACATCTGTTCCTAGTTCTTATTGGGGAGAAGCAGTATTAGTTGCAACTTTTTTGATCAATCGTTTACCTCCACGGGTCCTTAACAATATCAGTCCTATTCATTCCACGACTTCCTTCTTTCCTTCTGTTCCCATATTGCAGAGCCTTCCACCAAGAGTGTTTGGATGTGTTGCCTTTGTCCATGTTCATAAACAACATCGGAGTAAGTTGGATCCTAGGGCTCTTAAGTGTGTCTTCCTTGGTTATAACCCTTATAAAAAAGGGTACAAGTGTTATCATCCACCAAGTCGGAAATTTTTTGTTTCTATGGATGTCACCTTTCAAGAATCTGAATCTTATTTCCTGGGTCCTCATCGTCAGGGGGAGAATAGTTCTTC